CTTTGATGCCATTTTTTCCAATACCCTTATTTCTATGGATGAGGCAACTGAGACCCAGTGAAGCTACACATACATTTCAGGGTGAAAAAGCTTTCTAACAGTGGATCCCACCCCAACCCACCCTCATCCTTAGGTTCCCCAAGCTTCTTTTAAGATGCTAAGGGTTTTCTTTCTCCAGTCTGAGAAGATCCTTTTACTCAAAGATTTGTGCTCCAACAAAGTTTTAGAACTTCTTATCCAACATCAAAGCCTAAAATTCTCTGAGGAGGACTGTGGTTTGGGGGTGGTAAGAAATCAGTCCCAAAAATATAGGCCTACAAGAAGAATATTATTATTTAGAATCATTGTGTTTAGAATATATTTAGAATCATTCTGTTTCTGTATAAAGACAGATTTAAACTTAAAAACTGAGCATTTCAATCTGGAGAACATTTTGAAATGCCAAGTTTCTCACTGGACCTATTTTATATCTCAAGGAATAGTAGGAGGAGAGAGATTCACTCATTTGCAATCTTTCTTCTAGGTAAATTATCAGGTATTCAGAAAGGCTTTTTAGGTAAATATATGATAAAGAATGTTTAACCATATCCTTAGAATTTCTTTGATGTTGACCCTTTTGTTAAATAAATGTACCTCTCATCAAGACAGAGCTTTTCAAGAAGAATCTCTAAGTTATGCTTAGTCTAGTACTTTTTATTTCTTTAAAAAATGTACAAATATATTTGAAATTCATAAGTTATCCAAACTGTGAGTTATTTCCCCCTGGCTAAGTAGATAATAATATAAATCATTCACTTAATATTTGCAGCTCAACCACCAATATTTCTGCTGTTTTAAGTTTACAGATCTTTCCTCTTTATTCTGCTAAATAACTATTGAATGTAACATTTTATCCCCATTCCCACAGCTATAATCACTTCAAGTGATTTAGTTTTCTCCTAAAATATTTTAACAGCCTCTAAATTGGTTGCCCTTCCAGGGTCTTTCATTTTCCATGCTGTTGTCAAATCTAATAACAGCACTCTATCAACTAAATGCCATCAATGTCTCCCTATGACCTATATGATAAATTCCAAATTACTTAACATACAAGGCCTGTCACAATCTGGCCCCAATTTGCCCTTGTTCATCTAGTGTCATTATCTTCCTCTTACACAACTTCCAGTTTACAAATTGTGTAAACCCCATACTGTTTCAAGACTCTACTACATTTTTGCACATGCTGTTCCCTCTGTGTGATGAATCCTTCCTTCATTTCCCCATATGGAGAGCTTGTCCTACATCTTTCAGATTTTTCAAAGATCCCATCACTTCACCAAACACTTCCCTAATCCAGCCTGCATTTTGGCAATACTGTACATATACTGCTAACACCAATCTAATTTATGTTTTTACCTTCATATCAGTCTCTTCCCCCCACTAAACTATAGGTGCTTTGAAGGCAGGGACTTATTCAGCTTTGTAACTCCAGGGTCTCACATAATGCATGGCACAGAAAGAGACAACAGTAAATGTTTGTTGAATGAATGAAGGAATGAATGGGAAGATCTAAAAAAAAAGAAATCAGAGAAATTTAAAAAATGAACAATGAAACTGTGATTTAACTGTCTCTCTCAGTTATCCAGTAGTATGCATACTATTCTACAGTATTATTATATCATATTATTATATAATTATTGGAGTAAAAACCAGTAGAATAATATACACAGGCATTAGGGAAAGATTCATGTAACTAAGATTACACCTAAATGTTCCCAAGATAGCAAATTGACTAATTCTCTTTTTTTTAAATTTTACGATGTAGTGCTTGGACTTGTTAAGAAGGTGGGTTGGGGTAGAAGAGGTAGCAGAGAAAGACGGATGTAAGTTCTCAAGCAATTTTCCAGTTACATGGTCCTCAGAGGTAATCTGATCTATCGCTTAGGCACAGAACTCAGATCTTTTATAAATTCTTAGGCTGGGCAAGTAATAAAATAATGCTTCATTTATGGAAATGCTGTATGGTTTAAACCACAACATGTTTGGGGGAAAAAACCTTCTAAACTGTAAAGTGATATTCATGGTTTAGTTTTTTCTCCATTATTAAACTTTGACTTATTAAAAGAAAAACGTAATTCTGAAATTTTCATACACCCTTTATACTCTCAGATTACTTTGTCATGACTGGCATATCCCATTCTTTTGATGAGCTCTGGCTCTAGTTTTAATAAAAAGAATAAATGAGAACAATAATACTAGTCTGGTTAAGAGAGAAGAGAGGTCAGTGGCCAAACTAATACAAAAGTTACTAATGTTATAATAGTCTCATTTTCCACCTCCAAATATGCAACTAGAAAACCACAGCTTTTTTTATGTCTTTATGGGGACAATGCAAGGAGTAAAAAAATCCTATTCCTCTTTACAGACATTGCAAATGAATGACTCTTTTTTCATTGGTTGTGAAATTGGCGTAAGTCAGGCTGTGTACAGTTAGTAGCTCATTAGTAACTACCAGGTAATTACTGGCTTGCATTCAGATATTGACAGATGCCTAATAAGACACTTAGTGAATTTTTCATTAGTCTTTCTGAAAAAGCCTTCAGGAGAAAATATTTCTGAAGGCAGGAACTCTTTTATTTTCCTTTTCTCCCCCCTTTAGCCTCAAAGTATTTTCAAAAATCAGATTTTTAAATGTTAATAACATCATGCCTGAATATCTTTCAGCCAAATATTTTACTCTTCAGTAAATTTAGTTTCACTTCTCCTTGCTACCTATGTCCATCTACCCAAAGTCATCACCAGTACTGTGATTGAAAGACACTTAATTCACATGCATTCAATTTTGTATTAAGTTTTCAAAGCATTAGTCATCCACATATCTGACATAATTTTAAAATAATGGGGAGGGGATGGAATCAATAGTTTCTAATGGACATTTTTAACTAGTTTTTGTTATTCAAACAAAAGGCTCAAACAAAAATAGGCAAATATTTGATGCTAGAATATATTTTAAATATTTACCTATCTAACCAAAAATTGTTTAAATTTTATTGTACAGTGAAATTTTAGCACAAAGTAATACATTCACAACAACTTAGCACGCTAAAAATACATGCTAAAAATGGTTATGTGGTGAAAATACTGATTGCTACAATAAAACTCAATTATATCATCTACAAAAGTTGCAGAACATTTCATTATTGATTCTTCAAAGGAGATTTAACTGCTGAATGCTAAGTGTAATTTTGATTTGACAACATTGCTTTTGCTGTAATTAAAACCCTAAAGTGATCTTTAAATAACTCTTCATTCCAATTGCATCCTGATGAGTTTCTTTATAATTGGAATGTCAACACCTAAATAAGCGACTCATCCGACACTTGTCATACTTCAATGTTCCCACCCTTAAAAAAGCACCTCTAAAAGCTTTCTGTTGGCATTTTTAGTTAGACATATTTATTTAAACAACAACTGAGAGAAACTTGGGCAGAGTTAAGGAGTGATGTGACTTCAGTGATGTATACCTCTTTTATTATTTATTTTTTTAAATTTATTTTTATTAAGGTATACTTGATTTACAATATTATGTTAGTTTCAGGTGTACAACACAGTGATTCAATAGTTTAATAGATTATACTCCATTTAAAATTGTTATAAAATTTTGACTATATTCCCTGTGCTGTAAAAATATATCCTTGTAGCTGTTTTATTTTATACATAGGAGTTTGTAACTCTTAATCCCCTAATTCCACTTGCCCCTTCCCACTGTTAGTTTTTAATTTTTTAAAATTCAGTGGCTTCATTCTTCTCTACACTGGCATACATTTAAAGGGCTTCACCTGACAGGATTAAATTATCAATAATTCTCTCTTCCTTGTCATTTCACCTCTTTCCTTCTTCCAGGGGTTTTGATCTAAGCTTACTGCCAGAGAAGAAAGCAATCTCTTAAGCTAAGCCATACAAATGTATGGCTTTACTTGGGATCTCTCAGTGAAACTTGTACTTTATTTGGGATCTCTCAGTGAAACTTTACAGTCTCTCAGTACTTTACAAGTTATTTGAAGATGAAAACACCTAATAACAAAGGTGACATTAAGTCACTACAGATTAATAAAAATTTGTTCCTCTTCTTCATTCTGGGAAAAACCTAATCTTTAAAAAGCTACCTGCATCTAAAATATTTTGAGTGTTCATGAATTGTTTGTGGTTTCTGTTATATTCATGTCATCTTCACCTGGATCCCATTCTTTTTTATTATGTCCTTCTCCTTTGCTCTTGTTAATTCCCTCATCCTCAGCTATTTTTTCCTCTAAGACTTTTTGCCCATCCCTAATTCTAGCATTACCTCCCCCATATCAAATTGCTTCCTTCATTTGTTTTATATTTAGAGTCTTATAATCTACTCAGAGTTATAAAAAATAGAAAAATAAAGTACCTATAGAATTTATATTCAAATAATTTCCTAAACGTTACTCTAATTTGAAAGCTGTTTTTCATGTTACTTTTTGTTGATGCTGTTGATTACATAACAATAAATTTAATCATGTATGTAGTCTAACTGATAACTTTTAAATATTACTTCACTGTCTTTAAAGAATTATACTTTCACTTAGTATTTAAAAAAAGAAACCTATCAGATTGCAATAATAACCTTATTTTTATAAGCAAGTATTCTGTTTCAGTTCAATTAGGATATATGTATATATTAACTTATAAAAATATCATTCATTTACTATAAAAACTATTTAGAAAAGTACAATTAGAGAAAACATTGACAATGTCAAAGTGATTTTATGTATGACTATAGAAGGTCTGAATAAATATATCTAATTCTTATTTACCAATATTGTCACAAAGGAATATAATAATGTAATCTTAAATTAAGAAATGTATTTGATGAAAGTATATAAAATAAATAAATAAATAAATAAATATATATATATATATATATATTTTTTTTTTTCTAAATGACTATTTTATGCACTGGTGAAATACTGAATCATTTGTGCTATGGGACCAACCTTTATGTCTGTGAGATCCATCCATGTTGCTAAATTCAATATGATTTTCATCAGCCCAGTAGAGTCTATGGTTGACATAATCTATTGTTAGTGCCATAGGTCTAGAAATCTTGGTTTCTATGACAACACTCTGATTGGTTCCATCCATTCCAACACGTCCAATGTGAGGATACTCACAGCAGTCAATCCAATATAAATACCTAGAAAAGAAAATCAATAGCCACGTTGTTTATAGACACTCAGGGAGTAAAACATCTTACAGTATTTCTCTTATTTGCTTAGCTATTCCCAAATTAATTCTTGTATCTCTCTAATTGCAGCTTGTAAGAAGCATACTTCAATGCAAACTTTTCTTATGCTTTTTTTTAAAACATGTAGTACACTTTGAAATATCCATATAATTTTAAACATATGTTTCCTTTAGTATACAACTCATATGTATGTAACATTTCTGCAAGTGTTAACAAATAATAGATGCCCAAAACTAAAGAGGTAAACCTTAAAAATGCATCTATAATGTTAGAGGAATAAAACTATCTAAATATCTTTTTTTCTTTTGTGTTTTACCTATGAAAAATTAAAAATGAATTACGGAGAAGTACATTATATTTTCTTGAATGTTCATTGTTCAGTGTGGTAGCCACCAGCCAATTGTGACTCTTTAAATTTAAGTTAATTAAAATCATATAAAATTAAGTAAATTCCAAAAGTGAAAAATAATTTCCTCCATTAAATCTGCAGTACTATTAACAAAGTACTGCAGATTCTTAGAGGTCAATAGTAATGTTTTTGAGGTCATTAAGTAAATTATGAATTTCAAATGGTCTGAGCTCCATGTAATAGCAAATATCTTTTGTTTGTATTCTGAACATTTTATTTGGCTAATCTTATCATCATCTTGAACCAAGATACCACAAAGAAGAGGAAGAGCGTATTTCATGGAGTCCAACATCTGTTACATCACTCCCAATAAGTTCACTGAGAGTTTGAGGTCTGAAATCCTCACCCTGACACTCAAATTCTTCATTACTAGAAACAGACTTTTCCAATTTACTTCCCACTATTGAAATGTATGAACTGAGGTCTAGTTGGAGTATTTATAGTCCTACATTTTCACTTTTTTGCTTTTATCATATCATTTGCCTTGCTCCTGCCTCTTCAATACAGATATTATGATTCAGACGTTATTCAGTGTCCCCTCTGTTCTCCACAAACTCTTCTCTGATTTGTGTCAGTTCATGTTTTTCAAGGTAGGTTACAAGATTATATATATTTGAGAAATGGTTTGTTAAGCAAAGTAAGCATCATCTTGTTAATTATAGGATTCTTCAGAGCTTTTAATATGCTATATGATATAATGACTCTCTAAGAGGGAGCTAAAATATCCTTTGTTTATCACATAGTTTTGGGTAACTACATTTATTTTCCTAGAGCAGTTCCTAGGAAACACACTTTAGGAAACTGTGCTTTAGCACCTTCCGGTCTACAGAATTTCTTTATCACATGTATAACTGAACAACACATATATCATGCACATAGGAACCCACAAAGCAGTAATGATGTAGGTTCTCAGGCTTCAGAATCAGAGAACCTAACTCAATAAATCAGTTGGTGAAACATCTCTGATAAACCCCAAAGCCGTGCTTAAGTGGATTGAGAAACATATCTTGAAACAATGATTCACTGAGGCTATATAATATGTGTCAGACATTGCTTAGTACTGGGAACACAGAGGTAAACAGATATGATTTTTGCCATCAAAGATCTCTCAGTGAATACAGTAGAGGTGAATGTAAAACAAATGAAAAAATTAAAGCATGTTATGATAAAACTACTTTACCATGGAGGCACAAAAGAAGGAATGACAATTTTACCCAGATGGAAAAAAGCATGAAAAATCTTATCTTCATTAACTACCTTATAAATTTCTTGATAACAATGATCTTTTATCTCTTTCAGAATTTAGAATAAAGTATAACTTAAAGATTGTAATGCTGCAACAGGTCTTGAAGATCATGTAGTTTCAGGCCTTCATTTCACTGACAAACTGAGACCATAAAATATTATGAGCTTTGTCCTAGTCTGTTATGATAGTGATAAAGCTGGAACAAGGGCTCAGGTCTCTAGATTTATAGACTAGCTTTTTTTAAATGTATTTTTTTATATTTAAGATAAAACTCATATTCCATTAATAATGTTGTCTAGCTTTTTTTTTTTTTTTCTAAGCAACACTATGCAGAGTCTTAAAAGCAAAAAAGGCCTAAAAACAGGTTACTTGGGTTCATATTCCAGGTCCACCCATGTGAACTTGGCACTTTAGTTAGCCTCCCCTGAGCCTGGATTTACTCATATGTTCAAAAGTGATAATAATAGTTTCTACTCACAGAGTCCTGTAAGGATTAAAAGAGAGAACATAGGGAACAAACTTGGAACATTTATGAACATGTAGTTAAGTATTCAGCAAATATTAACTATTATTATTTTACTTGCACTAGCTACACAATATATGCATTCATATTGGTTTAGTGATAACTGTCTAATAAATGACTGCATCTGGATTGTATGCATGTTATTACATGATTTGCCTGGATTTTATCATGTGTGTTATTACCTGATTTGCCTATTAAAGTACCCATCAATTAGAAGAATATTATAAAAATGTTTTACTGTATTGAAGGAAAGCATAGTTTAACTGTACTCAGTATAAATGAGCCTTCATAAGCATAGAAATTACTGTGCATCTCTCCGTATGGGTAGCTAACTTGTGATGACTAAATTTCATTTCCTTTTCCATAATTAAGCCTCATTACTATACATTTAAGTTTCTCAAAAAGCCCATACTAGACATTCTGGTCATTTTAACATCTAAAATGCAACCTGCCAAATGTTATCCAAGTAAAAAAATTGTTGTAAATAATTAAAGCTGAAAAATGAAAAGTTCAGTGAAAATGTCAAAAGGAGAGTCTTAAATTTCACCCATATAATATGTAATATTTACTTAAGATCACATACGAAAAATCTCAGCTCCAAATAATAGCTATTCTGTAAGTTATAACCAAGAGTAAACATATAAAAGAATGTCTTCTTGTAACCATAACAACAGGCTTTTGTGATTCCTGAGGATGTCTTTTATAGTTGAATCTGATACATTTTATTTCTTTAAAACAAATTAAAATAGAAGTCTGCTATCAGTTTTCACTTTTTTTTTTCCCTGAATTCAGGGAACATATTTAGAGAAATTTCTTCCAGTTGGAATTATTTCTGATTTTGAACTATAAAATTAATTTTTAATGTTCATTCCCTGTGTGTTTTTGCCTAAATATGGGATTATAGGCTTAAAAATTGGTAGGAAAAAGGTGGGGATTTTTAATGTGACTGGTTAGCTTAATGAAATATTTCTGTTTTTCCCCACAGCAATAAAAAAAGGAGTTTTCTTTCCTTATACGATTTTCATTCCCTCACAACAAAGGTTCCCTTTGTTATGACTCTTCTCTTTGAAACATGCAGGTTGTTTACATACCAATAAATTGGTTTCTGCATAGATGCAGGTGCAATGCCCCTGCAAACTACAATCCTATGGTTTGTGTATATCCAGTAGCCTATTTATTATTACCTTCAACAGTAAATTTAACAGTTTCTATGTTAGGCACAAGCAGTAATTAAGCCATGGCTTTTCTGTTAAAGGAATTCGCTTTCTAGATGGAGAGAGAAACATGTACACCAATAATAGTCCCGTAATGTTACATGTTCAATATGTGGTGGCTACTGAGATGCAATTGGGGAACTTTCACAGAGGAAGTGATATTTTTTGCTGTTGTTGAAAAAATAAGAAGTTATTCTAACTGGAGGAAAAGCACAGAGGCATTGTAGAAAGTAAGAATAGCATCAGCCAAGATATAGAAGCACAAAATGTGTCTTTTCCAAATGTATTTGCACTTCCAATATCCATATTAACAATAGTGGATAGAGATTCTGAGTATATAAAGTGTCCTTCGACATACTCTCATTAAACGTATTTCAAAGTCAAAATAGAACCCAGTATTATTTTCTTGTGATACTGCTAATAGAGTATTAGAAAAGGAAAATAAATAAAAATATGTTTTAAAAATAAGGCATGCATATAGCTGATTCACTTTGTTATACAGCAGAAACTAACACAACACTGTAAAGCAATTATACTCCAAAAAAGATGTTGAAAAAAAATGCATGCTTATAATGATTAGGCAGTTTTATTTCCAAAAAAACTCATATTATCTGTAGTAACTTAAAATTTTATAAAAAGGCAAATTGTTAAAATGGAAAAAAAGTATTTTTTTTCTTATGCCCTGTTTGGATGGCTCTTGGAAAACCTGCTCACAACCCAAGATAACTTTGTTACTGGAAACTCTAATGTGATACATGTAATAGGGAAAAGAGCTGACCAAAATTTGGAAACTGGATTAAATCCCCAGTTTAATATTGTATTATAGTACCTAAATGATCCTGAGAAAGTCACTTAGCCACTTTGAGGCTGAATGTTCATACTTGTACTAAAAGTATAATAATAAAAGTACTCATATCTTTTTTAGAGACTCTGAGTAAACAGTACAAGCATCTAAAGTGATAAAGCACAGAGATAGTTTTCTAATTCATAAAATGCTATAGAAGTGATATTGATCATCATTATCATTATTATTATTATATGGGACCCCCAATCCCAGTAGGTCCTTCCCCTTTCTTATATTGGCCCCTTTTCCTCTGTTCCTCATATTCTGAGGAAATCATTTTTCTATTTACCTGTTTGCCCAAGCCATAAGCCTCATAAGGTTTGTTTTGTTGTTGTTGTGTTGTATTACATTCTGATTTATCCCTAGCTCTTTTTTACTCTATAAAGTGAACTGGTATCAAAGTTCTGCAATTTTATATACTTAATTTACTCCCTTCGTATGACTTATTTTCAGTTCCTTGGATATGCCTTGCTTTCCTATGTGTCTTTGCTTTCCCATAAAGCTTCTTCTTTTTGCCTGAAATGACTTCTGCTCTGAAATGTACCACATAACCCGGCTAATTCTTACTTCACCAGTCTTGTCCTGGAAGATTTCACTGACCCCATTTGAGATAGAAACATTTTCTGTTTTCTCCACTTCATGAGTTATTGTATTATATGATAATTTTTGCTTATCTACCTACTCACTGGACTGTGGAATACTTGGAGACAAGGGTTGTGACTTTTATTTTTATATTATACCTAGAACAGTGCCAGATATACACTAGATGCTAGAGAAATATGAGTTGAATAAATGAATGAGCAGATGAATTTATTTACTGTTAAACAGTCATATCATACATTTACTTTAATGTCTATCATAATGGTTTCTTGTTATGCTGAAGTGACATCTTAAAGATAAAATTATGCTCAGCACAGTTTTAACATTATATTTTCTATTCTACTTTAAAATGCATCTATATCTATGTCTCTTCTGTATAAATGACAACTTTTATAAACCTTAAATGTAAATATTAATGACCTACAACTTATGATTAAATAAATTTTAATTTATTTACATTGATTTAGTACATTGATTCCCAATCAATAACAGAATGATTGGGATCATTGGATTTCAGCTGAACTTAAATGTAATAGCCAGGAAAATGATCTGTCTACTTGTATCTTCTTTACCATTCTTACTAACCAGCATATCTAAATTGGTACTGTGACAACTGGCATACTACCATTATAAGAAAGGACCCCCAAGCTACCTTCTAAATGTTTACTCGCTTTACTGCATTAGATACTCCAATGATCTTTATCTTCCCTTAATTAATCCTTACCCTATTCCTCACTAAATATCGCGACAGAAATCACCTTCTCAAGGAAAGAGGGGTCAGTAGTATTGGCATATTCAAAACATATGCAAATCACAATGGCAATCTGACATAGAAAGGTTCAATTGAATTTTTATTAATCTTACAATTTGAGCTGCCATTTTTGAAGCAAGATTGTACAATATTTTAGACAGCTATGGCATTTTCACCCTTAAGCTCATCTCATAAAAGTTAAAATCCAAGTCGCCCTATTGTCTCACTCTGGGGAACTAGGAAAACAGTATGAACAAAAAAGGTGTCATTAAATTTTTTCTGTTGGAATCTGTTTATCTGCTATGTGGCTTTAATTGTTTCATAAAAAGATCTAATTTTTATGTTTCTTGGGTTATAATCTGCCATTCCATATCATAACAAAATAATATTTAAAAACGAAATCAAAGGAGTCTTCCATAATATCTACAATAATTTAGTACTTCATTGTTTAAGTTGACACTTTTGGTGGATGGGTTTATGTTGACGATAACTTAAGACTGCTGTCAGTTTATGGGATAATAACCATAACCTGGGAGAAATAAAACTTAAAGCTAGATCCAGCTGTGTTCACTATGCTAGCATACAGTTTTTGTTTTATAACTAGGAAATTCCATAATACTGTTATTATTAACAGATAATGTTTCTTTCATTTGTTAAATGAAGCATCTTGAAAATTATTGGATGAGAAGCTAAGATAGCCATACTGATTTTGAAGAAAAGGACAATGGACACACTAAAATAAATATCTTCTGATAAAATACCAAAGGACTCAAACATTCATATTCTTATGAATGAATAATGACGATAGCCAAATTCAGTATATCTGGCCATTATTTCTTGAAACATCTATAGAAACAGACGCTCTTGTAACTCTGTTTCAGTTAAAATAGAATTGACACTCTTCTGTTACTATGGTAAAGAAAATATTTTAAAAGGTAACAAAATAGTTACATAATTATATTGCAAAAATTTAAAACTTGCACCATTACCTTGGAAACAGAGTAGTATTTACAGTACAAGTCTTCTACTATTAGGTACTGCTTTTACCCAAATTAATATTTAAAATCAAGCTCCATGCATACTATGATATGATCACTTTGCCAATTATAAACATGAGACCAAAAATCAGAGATACAATGTATTAACAAGAAGCAAAATCTAATTATTGCATATGGCATGATAAAACTGATTTGGTAAAACACTTTATAGGAAATTAATTTAGACAGCAGAAAATTTAGAGCACTAGAGTTAGCATAATACTTGTTACTGTAAATGTTTCCTATTTTTAAAAAGCAAATTTAACAAACATGTTCAATAGGTTGAACTTCTACAGAGATCATTTTGGAGTACATAATCACTCAAATTGTAGTGTAAAAAAAAAAAGAAAGACATGCCTTCTCTACCTACCAAAACAACGTAATTGAAAGTGAATGATAATGGTCATAATATAGAACTTTAGCAAACAGGTTTTGACACCTAAATGTGTGTTCATCCCTCATCTGAGATATCCAGCCAGATGCCCTTGATCCTTATGATGACTTGTTCTTCTTTCTCACAGAGAAATGCAAATGAAACCCAACTCTAATATGAATCTTTCCTGATATTCCCCCTATGCTTTTCCCTCTGAATGCATAGATAATGCACCCTGTTATTTATTATTCATGGATGCTATTTAAGTCTCCTGCTCTAAAGTGGTTCAGGAATTACATCATCTCTATTCATGACTACTACAAATACTACAAAACAGGATCCAAGAGTTTGTGCTTTGCCTGTCTTTCCTCCAAGATTTAAACACATTAGAATTTGGATAAATCTGTATGTTTTATTCATTTCAACAACACATTTATTGATTAGTTATAAAAAGAGTTATGTTTAAAAACTTAAAAAAATACTTGCTCTAAAATCCCATCACTTTAATTTTTTTCTTAAAAAAATTTGTGATAGTCACATTTCTTTTTTTTTTTTAAGTTTTTTTGATGTGGACAATTTTTAAAGTATTTATTGAATTTGTTACAATACTGCTTCTGTTTCATATTTTGGTTTTTTGGTCACGAGGCATGTGGGATCTCAGCTCCCCAACCAGGGATCAAACCTGCACCCCCTGCATTGGAAGGTGAAGTCTTAACCACTGGACCACTAGGGAAATCCCTGTTATAGTCACATTTCTCTTCTTGATTTCTCAATAAAACTTTCTACACATTTACACTTTTCATGGGTTCCCATGTTAAAATCTATAGACAAGGATTTACCATATTGGACATAATCCACAGTCTTAATCTTTAATTTAAGATTTTCAATGTTTGTTACAAACCCAGCACGAGGATCTAAAGACAGGTCCCTGGGAAACTTCAGTCTTTTGCTAACCAGTATAGTAGGGTATAAGCCATTGAGTTTGGATACTTCAATGATCCTTTTTTCTGTGTCAGACCAATAGAGGTTTTTTCCAATCCAATCGACAGCAAGTGCACTGGGGACAGCTGTGTTATGCACTACCTAACAAAATAAGAATTTTAAAAGTTAACAGTGTAAATGCCTAGAATAAGAACTAAGCAATTGCTTCTTGATTTTTTTCAGAGATACAGAATTGCATTTAAACATTTGAAATGGGATTTAGATAAGCACAAAACATAGAACAATTTACCTAATAAAATTACTTACTTGTTTATGAGGAATTACCCAATATGTAATCAGACCCCTAGAAATTCCATAAAGGTTTAAGAAAGAAACACCAAAATAAAAGGCTCTTGGATGGTTACACAGTTGTTTATCACATTTTCATTAGAGTTTCCTTCTCCTCTCAAAATTTTGGGCAAAAATTCTATCACAGGCAGAGACACACAAGCACAAAAATTTATTGATGTTATTTATTAATAACAGGTTCTTGGGGAGATACCAATAGCATTCACCACTCCCCCAACTGTTCTTGCCCTATTTAAATTATCTACTACAAAGAGAGGAAAAAATACAAGCAAGAACATACATTAAGTATTTCACCCAACCAAAGGGAAGTAAAAATATACTCATTCAACTGCTGTGCTCAATTGTAACCTATGTCAATATCAAATATAATAAGGATATAGGCTTTGTATGCACAAATATGCTGCATATAAAATAACCAATAGCAGTTATTCTGAACTCCCTGTACCCAACCTACTGATTGTTTTGGCATTTTATATATATATACATTACAAGGTTTCATTAATATTTTCAAAACTGATTGCTTCCACCAAAGCTTTCTATACAATATTATAGATGGCTACAAAAAAAGTTAAAGTAATTGAGTTCTATCTACTTGAATTTGAACTTCTTTATAATACATTTTACTACATATATACAGTGCAAATAATTTTATTTTAAAACTCAAGTTAGCATAGAAATGGTGCGAAGTAGTTCATATCTATAAGGTGACACGTGTTTAATTACGATGCTGCCTACTCAGAACATTCATGATTTTACACAAATGCATTCAACTAATTCCATCTATAGCAAGTTAATTTTAATAGTGCTATAAGTTCAATCTACAGTCTAATAATTATTTTTTTCAACTACAAATTCTCAGGGTCAACATTTTCTTTTATATAAATCAACACAATCGAATCTCAGGCACTAATCATTCAAGCCTTAAGCATCCATCACATTTTCTAGGGTTGTGAATAAGGTTTCAAATTTTATTTATTCAATTTGATTTTTACCTTATTGCAAGTAGTAGTGTCATAATGAAACATAAGGATAAAAACCTCCAATTTCATATTTAAAGTATATATTAACCTACACTGTACAAACGTGAAATTCAAACCAACCTAATACATTCTATGAGTTGCATCATTACCATCAAATAACATTTTCTATTCAATTCAATCACACACAAAAAATATTGAATAATCCCATCATTGTAATATGTAATTACCTTAATATCACTTCCATTTAAACACATTCTGTTTATGCGACTGCCATTGGGTCGACTAGAATCAATCCAATAGATAAATTCTTCTCTGTAATCAAAGTCTATACCAATAACATTGTTTAATCCCTAAAAATAAAAAAGAGTATGTTGGAATAATAGTTAATAGAAATTGTTTTAAAATGATTAAGGAATTCATAAGAATCAGTATTTCCCTTTGAATCTAAGTAGTTACAGTTTTACAATAAATAGCATTTGTGAGAATACCAATTCTTTATAAAAGCATTATATATTTACATTTTTTCTACACCATACACTTAAGATGTTACATAATTTATTGTATTTGAAAATATTTTCCAAGTAGGAAAAATTTTGGAATGTTTATAGCTAATGGTTTAAGTAAATAGCCAGTAACGTGGAAAAAAATGCTTTTAGAGAGATAAAGGAAAAGAGTCTCACTTTAAGTTAATATTAAATATAAATTTGATGCCATTATGAGTATACATCTAAATGGGAAAGGTAGACGACCCCCAATAATTTAAGACGAGCTCTTGATAGATATGTGATGAAAGTCAGAAAAGAAGGTTTAAAAATTTTACTTTCCCTAAAAGCCTTTGTCTCAACAACATAGCAACATTCTCTTTTTTTCTCATGCTTCAAGTAGCCCATTAGGCAATACAGTGCCATATTAGAATTTAAAAGTTAAAACCTTAGGTGAGTATTTGACCAAAGAGGAACTAGGTAGTCAACATCTTTTTATTCCACATGGTAGAAATGTGAGGAAATCCCTCCCTTCAGACTCACAGTTAATGCATTTTTTAGCAGGTAACAAAATTGAACATGAATTCAGCTGATGGGTTTCTGGATACTACAGTTCTTTGGTTTGGCAGTTCCACTGTTTCAGTGATTTGATTTGAGGATTGTACATCACGATCTGAGAATTTTCCTAGCTGTTGAGTTTTCCAAATGATTGCTTAGGGATTGGTTTAATTCTGACCTATTGTTACTGCTCATAGATTTACTACCCCAATGGACTAACAAAACTTGGATCAAGATTTCAATTGTGTTAACTTGCTTTAAGAGTTGAATATTTTATTAATATATAAACTCGTGCTAAAAAATAATTGACACCATAGACACTTGGCAAAGCCCCAGAGATCTTTGTCATATCTCTGTATCTGATGTAAGCTTTTTACATCAATATTCACCCTAAAGTTGTCGTTGTCTCAAATTGTTTTAGGGGTAGCTTAAGAGTACTTATAGTCCTATAAGTAAGGATTAGCATCTTCAAGGAGATAGTTTTGTTTGTTTGTTTGTTTTGTGGTTTGCTTCGGTTTGGTTTGGGGAGGGATGGTTGTTCCCAATTCTGAGTTCTGTTTCCACATCTATACTCAGAATTCAAAATTTTATAATAACACTGAATCAGAGATATATAATTTTTTTTTATAAAACTCAGGCCAAAGCTAAATTAGTGCTGTCCAGATTTTATTTCTTTCCAATGATCTCCAAGACTAAGGATGACCTATGTATCACTATTTGCAACAACTCAGAGAAGGTTCTTGCAAATACTGATTTTTTCTTCTCTTAGCCAGGCTAAATTCTAGCAGTGATGGTGTTAAAATCATAGGTTCAAATCTTATGCTTTTATTTGGCTTAAAAGGAGCAATCTCCTTTTCTTCAGCTCTAGATTATAAAGTTAACCTGCAATCACTTAACCCCACTATGCCCAGATGAATAAATGCAAGTATAAGTCTTACTGACAGCATCACTAATCAAGAATAATGATTATAAATGCTAAAAAAAATGCAACTAATATTCAGTCTCAGATTCAAAAGATTCATTAATTATTCATTCACACCCTAATAACTGGAGAACTACTTAACTAAATACATGTAAGCATTCATATCTAAGAAGTCATCTATGCACAATCAAGGTTCTAAAATATAAACAGAATGGATTCCAAGTTCTGTACAGGGTTTAATAAATTCATTTCAATGGTAGTCTACAGGGCTTCCCTGGTGGCGCAGTGGTTGAGAGTCCGCCTGCTGATGCAGGGGACACGGGTTCATGCCCCGGTCTGGGAAGATCCCACATGCTGCGGAGCGGCTAGGCCCGTGAGCCATGGCTGCTGAGCCTGCGCATCCGGAGCCTGTGCTCCGCAATGGGAGAGGCCACAACAGTGAGAGGCCTGCGTACCGCAAAAAAAAAAAAAAAAGTAGTAGTCTACAATATTCTTTCTGTTCAAATGCTTTTCTCACTGGAAGAATAGGTAAATGGGTTAGGGTTCTGTGATGGCCTGGCAATTCAGATAGGTATATTAGACCTCTATAGGGAAAAGGTGGGAGAGAAAGTTGTCTCTGACCTTAGCAAAGATTCACCCACAATCCCCAGTCATGGCAGAATTATCCTATTCCTTTCTTTACAATAATCAATTTAGATAATGAAAATCTATTCCAAATTTAGCAAGTCAACTACAATAAATTAAAGCCGTGAATGCAGAGAAATTGAAGGTCTGAATTCTGACATATCTTTCCAGCCAAACTGGTCATTTTTCTACAGCTTTACCCTTAATCCCTTCAGAAAAGAGTGTAAAGCTCTCTCTACAGAATCATATACAAGGAACATTAAAACAGCCAAGGGCATGGTCAAAATAATGTCTAAAAACTAGAGTCATCCCAGTGGTTTCAGAGCTGAAAATTGGTTTCATCAAAATCCTATTTGCTTCTTTTATTTCTGTGGCTGAAGATTTGCACCCTTTGGTTCAAGATGATTAATTTAGGAAATTGTGTTTTGTTTCTCTATACAATTTTACTGGAATAAAAGTCACTGCTAGAATTGAATTGGATAACATATTGGAAAGCTACTTGATTAATTTTCATTTCTAAAATCCATGTTATTAAAGTACATTTTCTAAATGTGTTGTACGAATTTAAGTTATAGCTGTCTTAGCTACAACTATGTTTTAGAATATATAGGGTAAAAACATTCTACCAGTAGTTACAATTTTATGCTATAAAACTTCATGAGATTGTTACTAAATACGATAAAGAGAATAAAATTTAAGATATTAGGATAAATTGTTCTTCCTAATTATTTACACAGAGAATTCCCAAATAATTAAGGCACAGATGTTGTCTTTTCATTTATTTTTGACTGAGAGAAAATGTGGAGAAACAATTACTGCTATTTTCTACTTCACTCTGCATATGTAGACAAAATCTTTGAGGAAGAAATTGGTTTTTACCACCTTGAACTCCTTGAAAATTTCTGTAATGCCATGATGAAATTGTGGTTAAAAACAAGTTTCCTAACAAACATGACATATTTCAAGCAGCCCACAAGCAAAACTTTAAGGCTTGTCTTTAGTTTCTTGGGTCTTTACATCCTTACTCCATGGTCACCACTAACAAATGCTCTCCAAAGACACAGGTGTTCAGGGTCCTTGTGCATTTCCTTATCTTCCTCACTACCTCCTTATTTCCATAAACTGCACTAAGAAACTGTTTGAAATTCATCCCCACTTATGTACTAGTGATTGGCAATAGTCTACAGTTATATCACCAGGAAAAAAACACTGTAACAATGTGAGCATTAAAATGGTTTGGCTGTATGAAATAGACTTACATCATGCGTGGAGATAAAAATCATTTTGGTCCCTTAAGAACAATCCCTGATAATGTATTAGCCATGAAAGACAAAAAAAAAAAAAAAAAAGGATAGCAGTAGAAATGTCTTGAGCCACAGGGTTGGAAAATAAAGCAAGGAGCTACCACTGAAGCTCTGTTATAGTTCTTTCTTGAAGATCATAAATATTGTTGCTATATTAGTTAAATTTGTGGTTCAGCTGAGCTTATAGAGTATTCTAAAAAGAAAACTTTCTCACTTTGAGATAGCACAGTCTAAAAGGGAGAAATGCTAAAAACAAAAGAAAGCAAAACAAAAACAAAAAACTTATTAAAGAGAAAATAAACACGTCCCATTTCCAGAGACTATAAAAGAAAATCAATAGCTTGCACACCTAACTTGGAAGGTCTAGAAAGGGTATGGAGAAATATACTTAAGAGAAAGAGGTAATTTTCAATATTTTGTAAGTTTGATATATGCTTAAAGTTATACTGCACTGGAAAAAAATAAATTAATGCAGAAAACCATTTGGGAAATGAACACTTTTCCATTTTAAAGCAGTTATGTAAATTTAAACTATCTCCCTATGGGTATTACTCATCTCTTAAAGAAATAGTCATTTAATTCTTATATTTTAAATAGACTTCTGTTTAGTTTTTACAAACAACATGAAAATATTTTGTATTTTACCCAATCTCTTAAGGTACATAATTAGAGAAAGAGGCAGTATGAAACAGTGGGTATTTGTGGCACACTCCAAACTCAAGAGCAAGAATCTAAACCTCACAGACATTCCTGAATAAGACAAGTATGTATGTGGTAAGCACACGGAAAGTTTGAGGATGCTGGTGAATTAAGAGCACGGGCATAAATCACAGTGGCAGCTGCTACCCAGCTTGGATTGTGTCCATTCAGGGATGTGAACCCAGAAATGTTACACCTTCCTATTTTTTCATGAGTAGCCAGAAATCTGGATTTTCATGTGAAATTTTAATTTTCAATTTGTGACTTAGAAGCTGCAAAATCCAATTCTGTGGGGAATAGTAAACATCACACTTGCTAATGAATATCTGCACTTAAAGTAAGACTAAATTCTTAAGCAATATGAATGAAACTCTAACTATAGCAATGGAGGTACCCAGGAGTGAGTGGAAAAATATCTTTAGTTAAGTATTCTTTATGTTGCTGAAAAATCAACACATGAATGGACTTCTTCATCTAATGCCAAGTGCTGGCATAAACATACTACAAGAACAAGAAATATCTTTATTTTTGGCACACTTGTTCTAGAGAGTGCTATCACATATTCATGTCACTATTGCACAGTTTGGGGCAAAGAGAAATTTGCAGCAGGACAGATACAAGCCACATCTTTCCAAAGAAGCTACTTCTGACGATCAAAGATATGCTAAAACTAACTGTGATTTCTCTAGTCAATGTAATAATCAGTCTAGTTTTAATGATTTGATTTTATGCTTTCACTGCAGACTGGGAGGGAAAAAAAAATTTGAGGGAAGCAATTCACATTTCCATCCTGTCATAAATGGAAATCATTCCTTTCATCTCAGATAGTATATATGAGTAAACTCTGACAACAGAACTTAAGCAACAAAATGGATCAGTAGCCCAGATTCTCTTGAAGTAGGTGGGTTGAGGGATGAAAAGGGTAAGGCTGAATATACGCACCTCATAACCTTTTAACCATGACTGGATTATAATCATACTTTTGCTCCCTAGCTAATTCCAAATTTTAAAAGCTAAGGATCATCAATCCCATATTATTCCTTAGTTCTAAGAACAGAAACTTGAGGTTCTGGAAAAGATGTTTATTTTTAAATCCCAAGGGCTGTGGGGCTGGGGGGACAATCTGGGTAATGCACAACTACCTTAAAAGAGAATTTTATACCTTCCCTAGTCTAGCTGTTCTTAAGAGAGTTTTTTTCCTTGCATTAGCTATGGTTTACATCTCCTACTTTCTTGGATATGGTGTGATGTCACAAGTTGGAGGCATCACCTGGACAATTCAAACAGAACAAAGTTTATGGCAATCTTATATGCATACATGCATGGATCCCTGAATACATGCTTCAGAAGTACTAATTATGAGGTATTGCTACAGCTCTAATGCATATCTAGAGTGACTGTATTAAATACTAAGAAATCATCATGGAAATGTCATACCTGTTTTAAAAGTGTGTAGTTGGAACCATCAGTGCTAATTTTCCTTATCTCATGATGATCAGCAAGAATTAGAAAAGGTTCTTCATCTAAATACCAAGACAAGAAACATATTAGACTTTAGTATTTATGGTTTTCAACTCTGCTTAGTCTCAGTTTAGTTACTACAGCAATGCAAGTTCAAATGCAGTGCCCTCTGGTAGATTAATGGTTAAAAAATTCTTCCTGAGCACCTCTACTGATAACAATATGAAAAGAAAGCAGATGCCTGTGCAGTACAGAAAATCTAGACAATTCCAAATCCCTCTCTTTCCCTCAGTCTTCTTGAATATTAAATTATCTAATTTATTTGAAATTAGTAGAAAACACCTGCTGTTAAAATCTTATTTTTTGTTGTTCCTTTTTTTAAAATTGGAATATAGTTGATTTCCAATGTTGTGTTAATTTGAGGTATACAGCAAAGTGAATCAGTTATACATATACAATATATCCACTTTTTTTTTTAGATTCTTTTCCTATATAGGTCATTACAGAGTATTGAGCAGAGTTCCCTGTGCTATACAGCAGGTTCTTACTAGTTATCTACTTTACATATAGTAGTGTGTACATGTCAATCCCAATCTCTCAAATGGTACAAATGAACTTATTTACAAAACAGAAATAGAGGCACAGATGTAGAAAACAAACCTACGGTTACCAGGGGGAAAGGGGTGGAGGGAAGGATAGAAATCTTATTTTTAAATGAATTTCAGAGAAGGATAATCTGCACCTATCTTAGAAACCTACAGTACAGCTAAACATTCCTATAACCAGAAAATTCTTTCTTGATAATCAAATAACCAGCTTATGCTCTCAGAATAACTTCAGTGAAAACCAAGAGTTTCACTGCCTACATACACGTTTTTCAGCTGCCTGGAAGCTTCTCTTAAGTAAGAGTCTATTTCCTTCTTATTTGTCCAACATGCTTTAGTATATTATTTGTTCTAGAATCTAGGAAAGATAATAAAAATAATCTAACCATGCTTCATATATGTAAAGATCAAACTCCTTTTAAACATCTTTGTTTCTAAGATGCATTCGTACACTTAGATGCCTCGTAAGCAAATTTAATGTCAGCATAGATTAGAAAAAAACAATGAAAAAGGTAGCCACTTTACGTGATTAAATGAGGACTTTATTGTAAATCATTTATTGTTATAGAGTTATTGTCCTGTTTATGTTCAAATTATTTGAATTATTATTATGAATAATATTATTTGAATTATTATTCAAATTATTTGATTTGAATTATTATGATGTTCAAATTTATGTTCAAACTTATTACTTTCTTCCTTTCAGCCTTTAGTTTTACAGTATATGTATAATACATAGGGCACTATACTCTGTTTTAGCATACTCTGTGTCAGAGATTAGAAATGTGTGTCACAGATGCTCGACATCACCTTCTACCAGTGATGGCAGCACCTCTAATCATTCCAGTCTTTCTGTTGAGGTTAAATAGAGACTCAGAACCCTACTCAAAAGAGTTGTCTCTCAAGTTAAAGTTGCTTTGCCCTCCTATCAATATAGTTCTACATTCATAAATGTTATTAATCAGTCATGTTCTACCTCAGTACTTAGGCAGTTCTGTTCTTTACAACTTAAATTGTAAGACCTGAAATTTGAAACTCCTAGAGGAAAACATAGAGAAAAATCGCCTTTACACTGGTCTTGGAAATGACTGTTTGCCTATGACACCAAAAACACAAACAACAAAAGCAAAAATCATCAATGGGGACTACATCAAACAAAAAAGCTTCTGCAAAGCAAAAGAAACAATTGGGACTTCCCTGGTGGTGCAGTGGTTAAGAATCCGCCTGCCAATGCAGGGGACACAGGTTCAATCCCTGGTCCAGGAAGATTCCACACTCTGTGGAGCAACTAAGCTCACGAGCCACAACTACTGAGCCCTCATGCTGCAACTACTGAAGCCCACGTGCCTAGAGCCAGTGCTGCGCAACAAGAGAAGCCACCACAATGAGAAGCCCGCGCACCACAACGAAGAGTAGCCCTGCTTGCTTCAACCAGAGAAAGCCTGTGCGCAGCAATGGAGACCCAACACAGCCAAAACTAAATAAATTAATTTTAAAAAAGAATTGACTATTAAGGAAAGTTTAGAAGGAAAAAAAAGAAACAATCAACATAATGAAAAGGCAACCTATGGGATGGGAGAAAATACTTGCAAATAATATATCTGATAAGGGGTTAATATCCAAAATATATAAATAACTCATAAAAATCAATAACAAAAAATAAACAATCTATTAAAAATTGGCAGAGGAACTGAACAGACATTTTTCCAAAGAAAGCATACAGATGGCCAATAGGCACATGAAAAGGGGCTAAACATCTCTGAACATCAGGGAAATGCAAATCGAAACCATAATGATATATCACCTCACACCTGTTAGAATGGCTGTCACCAAAATGACAAGAGATAAATGTTGGCAGTGACTGAAGAAAAGACAAACCTTGTGCTCTTTTGGTTGGAATGTAAGTTGGTGCAACCACTACAGAAAACAGAATGGAGGTTGCTCAAAAAATTAATAATAGAACTGCCATCCAGCAATCTCACTCCTGGGTATATATCCAAAGGATGTGAAAATAGTATATCAAAGCTATATCTGTACTCCCAAATTTATTGTAGCATTATTCACAACAGCCGAGACATGGAAACAACCTAAGTGTCCATCAACAGATGAATGGGATCTGTATAGCCATGAAAAAGAATAAAATCCTGCGATTTGAGACAACATGGATGGTGCTTGAAGAATTATGCTAAGTGAAACAAGTCAAACAGAGAAAGACAAATACTCTATGATATCACTTATAGGTGGAATCTAAAAAAGCCAAACTCATTGAAACAGAGTAGAATAGAAGTTACCAAGGTTTGCATGGTGGGGAACATGTGGAGATGTTGGTTAAAGAGTACAAACTTTCAGTTGGAAGATGAATAAGTTCTGGGGGTCTGATGCACTACCTTGTGATTACAGATAAATACACTGTACTACACACTTGAAAGTTGCTAAGAGAGTAGATCTTAAATGTTCTAACCACAAAAAAGAAGTGGTAATTATGTGAAGTGATGGAGATGTTAGCTACTACTACCATGGTAATCATATTACTGTATATAAGTATATCAAGTGAATGCACTGTATTACCTTAATGTTACACAATGTTATAGGTTAATTATATGTCAATAAATTTGGGGGAAAATATCTAGCCTCCCTTTAGCAAAAGATTTATTATTCAGGGACACTCATATTTATATTAAAATTGTTATTAGTTTCTATTTATTACTTTTAATGGAAAACCACTATATCATGGATACATGATGTAACAAGACCCAAATAAATGATTAGCATTCACCTCCTTTTCATAATCCTTTGTGAAAAGTTTAAAGTAATGGAAACACTAACTAGTTTTTAGATTTTATCTTTTCTTCTTATCCCATGTCACTAAATGAATGATGTAGTAAGCAGTGAGCTGGCAAAAAAAAAAAAAAGTAGGCTGGCAAATAAAACAATGGGCTCCAAATAATATACAAATTTACTCAGAGACGGACATTCCAAGAATAAGTGAGTGGAATGAAAAACTGAAAAGAGTTATTTTTCTCCATAATGTGCATAATTTTAACCAGTTAAAAAAATAACTTTTAAATTCCTATCCCTTTTATTTATTTTATGAAAGTAGATGAGAAAAATCTAGTTGTTTTTTTTTTTTTGCGGTATGCGGGCCTCTCACTGCTGTGGCCTCTCCCGCCGCGGAGCACAGGCTCAGGACGCACAGGCTCAGCAGCCATGGCTCACGGGCCCAGCCGCTCCGCAGCATGTGGGATCCTCCCAGACCGGGGCACGAACCCGCGTCCCCTGCATCGGCAGGTGGACTCTCAACCACTGCGCCACCAGGGAAGCCCAAACATCTAGTTTTTTAAATGTTGTTCAACATAAATGTATATGAGAAACTGGCAATGCTATCTAATTGATTATACTCAATATCACAGTAAGAGGAATAGAAACATATTATGCACCATTTTCTGCCCATTTTAAGTTATTATTATATATTACTTTGTATCATTTTAATAAGTTTGATTTTCTCCCCTGATGAATCATAATTTGTTTTAATATTTTATTGAATTTTCTAATTCACAAATCAAACACACTGCTTGAAATAAACAGAAGTTTAATAATACTTGTTGAATCACTGGAAGAATTCAAATAGTCTTATATTCCTGATTTTTTGTTATTGTTGTCATCATTATTACTATTATTATTACTGACCCGTTGTTCTCCTTGGCACACATATATGAGTGTGTGTATGGTGTAGGGGAGAAGGAAAAAAATATTAGGACGCTGTCACAACAGGCTCTTTAATAGCCTTGGCCAAACCTGCTCCCAAGAACCTGTGATACAGGAAGCAGTGCTAGAGATAGTTCTTTTTACTTGTTCTCAAAATCTAGAAAACACTTAATAATTCACAGGACCACACTGGAATGGTACTAAAAACAGAGCAGTGTGTGGACAACATGCAATATCAGAGTGACAAATTTCCATATCAAGGTAAGTAGAGGAGAATTTTGACTTCTTAGAAACAGCAATGAGGAATGAATTCAACAAGAATAGCTACAAAATCAGATCCATATGTGTAACTGAGGCTGACTCAGTGGACAAGTTCAATTCGATACCTGAGAGTGATTTGCAGCCATTTGGGTTATCAGGTTGTATTTCATATCCATCTGTACAGAGGCACCTGTAGGTCCCATATGTATTGATGCATTGCTGGCTACACGGAAAGCCCAAAGAGCATTCATCAACATCTACACATGTTTTACCATCATCCTTCAGTTGAAATCCAGGCCAGCATTTGCACTGGAGAATGAAAAACAAGCATAATCAATTCATATCATTGTCACTGTCTCTTGCTATTGGATATCCGTTTAGCATGATTCAAGCAAGAAAATCAGTTAATAATAGATAATGCCAAGTCTTTCTGTCCCCCAGAAGTTAAACTTTAATAAGAATTACATATATTACATACAGTTTAAGTTAAAAAAGGATTCTCTCAAATATCATCATTTGATCTTCTGAGGTTGACAAGATTACAAAAGTTAACCAACATAAATCAGCACACCATGCTGGCTAGAGAATGGCAAGGAAAACAAAACTAAACCATCAGCTTCTTCTGTTTTTTTTTTTTTTTTTCTATTGCATTATATTGTGTTTTTAGAAGACTTTAATAATCGTAAGGATTAACCCTTAAGTGGAGCTCTGAGAATTACTAATATTGTCACGTATGTTATTTCATTAGAGTCTTAACAAAAATCTATGATATAGGCACTATTATTAGTTAACCCATGAGAAACCCAGAGGCACAAAGGTGAAATTGTGTAGATAAAGCCAGAAGGAGAGCTGATTCTCTCTGTAATTTTTAACAAATAATAAGGCTCAATTAATATTTATTGGCAGGGTCTGAGTCCTTAACCAAATATGATGTCTGGAGAAATAATAAAATTAACATAGTTTCCCCTTCATAATTAAATCAATGTGCATCACCAAATCATTTTTTTTCCAGCATCTCTATCATGTTCTATATGACCCTCTAATGATTATGTAATATTTACTAACTGGCATATCAGTTCTCAGTACAATGTCATACCATATATGTCTTTGCATTCCTGAAAATAAAAAGGGGCGGTAATTGGTCTTTCAGTTTTATATTCAGTCCCTGTCAAGTAGCATAAGGAATTATAATTATACAACACGAACCTATAATTGGCCAGATGATTGTGAACATGTTAACCTTCACCAAGACTATTTAGTGGCCTTTGAATAAAAGAACTTGTGAGTACTGAATAGGATAGTGAATTAGGTAGGAACTCTAAGTTGTCAAGAAAAACTAGTATTCAAGAATTATTCATAGTAAACATTTGAGCCTTTGTATCTATTGGGAAAATATTAGAGAGAGATATGTGCTTATTATTAAATAATGAGCAAACAATTAATTGAGGGGTAGAATTTTTTTAAGTACAAAAAATGGTGTTCATTATGTGGAGGAGAAGGAGCATCAACTTCACCTGAAAGTGCTCAAAAGATAAATGAATATCTTTTTTATTTTTTTTTGTTTTTTGCAGTACGCGGGCCTCTCACTGTTGCGGCCTCTCCCGTTGTGGAGCACAGGCTCCAGACGCGCAGGCTCAGCGGCCATGGCTCACGGGCCCAGCCGCTCCGCGGCATATGGGATCTTCCCGGACCGGGGCACGAACCTGCGTCCCCTGCATCGGCAGGCGGACTCTCAACCACTGCGCCACCAGGGAAGCCCTGAATATCTTTTTCTAAGTCCTTTAACAAGAAACAAATCTCTTTAAGCTCTTGGCACTTTTATCTTTAACAATTTACACCAATATTTATCTAATAATCCTAAGATTATTAGATACAATAATAATCCTAAAATTATAAAGAATTTTTTGTAATCCCCAGAATCTACTAGCAAGCCAGCAAATCAAAGCAAAATCCACAACTTAATTTTCCAAATTCTCCTCATAATATTTGAGCCTGTGACAATATTACTTTTTTTTTTGCAGTACACGGGCCTCTCACTGTTGTGGCCTCTCCCGTTGCAGAGCACAGGCTCCAGATGCGCAGGCTCAGCGGCCATGGCTCACGGGCCCAGCCGCTCCGCGGCATGTGGGATCTTCCCGGACCGGGGCACGAACCCGTGTCCCCTGCATCGGCAGGCGGACTCTCAACGACTGCGCCACCAGGGAAGCCCAATATTACTTTTTTTGAGAAGACTCATCCTACTACCTGATGAGGAAGTCAGGGGAATTGGTGTTTATCCTATGTCAAAAAAAAAAAAAAAAATAGAGAGATGCTAAATGTCACTGAAATATATACTTAAAAGTAGTTAAAATGATAAATTTTATGTTGTATATTTTACCACACTTAAAAAAATAAATAAATTTTTCAAAAAGAAAACTGAAAAGCTACAAAAAGATATCACTGAAAAGAACTGGAAATCAGACATGTGATCATGTGGAAGCCAGAGACACATAAGCAGACACAGGGTATAGTTGAATTCAAGGGGCACTTCAGGACAGGTGAAAGGACATTTTATAGAATGCATTAAATTCCTCTCAAAAAGAGTACTATGAAAAGAAATAGTGTCCGAATTCTAATACGGCTTCTGAAAATTACTTTGAATGGCTAATGTCAGGCTTATAGAACTACTATATTAGTCAGTTTGGATAAAAACATATTTGTGGAAAATTAATTTCTTGAAGGTAAAACTTACCAAATGCAATGAACATTTCTGTAAACAAATGAAATTAGGATGTTTAAGGTGTAGAGTATTTTTAATGTGTTTATTAAAAGAGAAGATTTTTTTAAAAGATAATTTCCTCCCCAGTCTTGTTAACCTTGTTTTAACAAAAACATTTTTTGCTCCCAAATAATTAAAAGGCATTTATGGGAAATTCTACTAACCTAAAATTCATAAATTGAATGAAAAAATAATAATCATTTGTGTCAGAGAGATGAGAGATTCATCTATATTTAATAAAAAAAAAGTTTAAAAATGTTTCACTTTCACTTAAAAAAAAATTTTTATGAAAGTGAGATATATATATTCAATGTCATGTTAATATTTCTCATAATCAAGAACTATTTCAAATTGTCTTGATTTATATTAATTTTTATAGAGACACATATAGCTACTAGAAACAAATATAGCTATCCAAAGTTTTCCTATTACATTCAGAAAAATTTGCAGCTTTTTAGTGATATTTTAAAATACTGGTTATCTTATACACATTAAAATTTATTTATCTCCCAAAAGTACATTTATTTTCACATGGTAAGTTACCATTCCATCCAAATAAGATTCTTGCTTAGTTAAGTGTTATTACTCCCTTTTGAATAGTTAAATCAATTGTATTTGTTTTACAGCAAATTGTTCATAGTCCAGAAGGTCTAAATTTTGCTTTTATAAGCAATTTTCATTTTATTGCAGAATTTGAAGGAGGAGTTGTCATGTTCTGCTGATAATGTAATGAGAAATAGTTTACTGGATAGTTTTCCCCATTCTCTGAAAAAGAGAAACGCACCAGCTAACACTTTTTTCCCAAAATAGATAAGCATTTTGTTGTATATAACATTTTTTATTCAATCTCCTATAAATAAATTGTCAGAAATATAACATATTATATGTATGTTTTAAAATGACATACATAATATAAATATAACATGTATATCAACACAATATATAAAATATTTGTTTTGAATCTTTGCTTAAATCTCTTATTTATGATTCTCATCCTAGATCCTTTCATTTTTGAACTGGTCTTGCTTCCCCCAGTAGATGTTTTATTTTATTCATTAGTTTTTTGTTTTGTTTTGTTTGTTTTTTGCAGTACGCGGGCCTCTCACTGTTGTGGCCTCTCCCGTTGCGGAGCACAGGCTCCGGACGCGCAGGCTCAGTGGCCATGGCTCACGGGCCTAGCCACTCCGCGGCATGTGGGATCTTCCCAGACCGGGGCACAAACCCGTATCCTCTGCATCAGCAGGCGGACTCTCAACCACTGAGCCACCAGGGAAGCCCTATTCATTAGTTTTGACATGTTTGTATATTAAGGAACATTATCCACTGCAATTTTGTCAGGTATCATACACATTGCCTTTTGAATAATTAAACAGTTTGTCTCTTTTACCTAGAATTCTCATTTCATTCTATGACTCCTTCAGAGAAGTCAGAGAAAATAATTATATTTTAAATATAATTATCAATTATTATATTTTAAATATAATATATATAATTATATATATATATAAAATATATAATTATATTTATATATTTATATATTATATTATATAAAATATATATATATTATATAAAATATATATATATAAATATATATATATTATATAAAATATATAATTATATTTTAAATATAATTATCAATAATTATCAATAAACAATTGATAAACAATTATTTATCAATTAATACAATTGATAATTGTATCAATAAACAATTATTTCTCTGTGAGGAATCTTATAAAGTAATTAAAATAGTATGATTTATCATGGCTTTCTGGGTGAGATTTACTTCTACCAAAACTAGTTTTCCAAATATGGAATCTCTGGGCACTCAGTATTTCTTACAGGCAGGCATTAAAAAAAAAATTACACCATACTTTTGATGTTATGTCAAAAGGTGACTATTCCATATTCTATAATTTTTAGATTTTACCACCAAGATTATGACAGATTAAAAATATACACAGGATAAACACAAATCTACTTTGAAATTTAAATTTTAGACAGACAGATGGATAGATATACATTCTATATGATAAAAATAGATTATTTATAACATGACAAAATTTAAACTATTACCTTTAATAATTTTATAATACATTCCCTGACTTTTTTGGAAACATTTCTATATTGATTGTACATAAATCACCAATAACATTTTTTCTGCTTCATTGGGTTTCAAAACCTTTACTGCCAAAATTAATTACCTCATATATACTCATCACATTAAGAGCTGTTGTTTGGTGAATTTACCATTAGATAGAACTGACTTGTCATAGAATATCAAGGCTGTCAAGGAAAAACTGAAGCATCTTTGTAATACACACTTTTTTTTTTCTCTAGCATCTTTTAAAGAAAGTCACTTAGTCCCAACTGAAATACTTTTAGATGTGAGAAATTTGGCAACTCATTCCAATGTAGAGAATTCTAATGTTCAAAAAGTCTTTCTTATACAGAATCTGCTTCCCAACTCCTATTTCCAACATTTGAAACAACTCAGAAAGGTATGCTCCCTATTCCAGTACTTCATATATTTAAATACAACTGACTAGCCATTTTTCTCTTGGTAAAACTTCTTCCAAAGGTGTGTTTTCCAGACCCCCTTATGCCACTGGCTGTACAAATGGGGATACAGTACAGTTTGTCAAGGTTCCTCTTAAAGTGTCATGTCCATAAATATGCACAGTACCCCAGGTATGTTCTGATCAGCGCAGAACTCAGTAGAACAAATCTGAACTCTGTACTACTCCTAACTGGATTAGACTGCCTCTGTGGTTCGTAAAAGCCATGTCCTTTTGCTGATTCATACAGAGCTATTGTCCAGTTAAAAACACTAATTTCCAGCTGAATTGCTTTTACTGAGGTTTTCCCACATTTACATAATTGATTTTAACCTAATGCACCACTTCAATATTATTTTTTGTATGCATCTTCCGTTCCAACATATTGAAACAGAGATGTTTTCAAAAGCTATTTGTGTCAATCAATTTTGTCAGTGAATCACATTCTTCAGGAAAATGGGACCAACCAAAAGCAATTAGAATGTTAGGCATGATTTATTTTTAGTGTACCTGCACTCAGTCCTAATAATTCATGTGCTCTGTTTTTTTTCTTCCTGTTTATATGAAAAAATATTGTATTCTCCAGTGTTGTGGTACATAAATGATTAGCCCATTCCACTTCAAGGATGTATGAGAGGGGAAACGAAGGAAGCAACGGGAATTTAAGAGAGTTGCATAAACATTTATGCAGCTATTAACAGCAGTACCTTCCTCAAACACTGGTCATCCTTTGCTTTTTTCTTTATGATCAGCATTTATTAGAAAACATTTTGATTTTTTTGTCTCCATGAGTATATTCTCACAATTTATATACCACACTATTATTATGGTTTGCATATACAGAAACTCTCCATTTAAATAGTTTTAACTAATGATATTATAATGACTTTAAGTTTTACAGCTATATTGGATGACATCATTTTTATTGCCCCAAATTCTAACCTGTCAGATGATTTTCTGTCTTTGATGCGTGCCTACCTTATAACTGGCTGGAAGGTCCTGACAATCTTGAGAACATCCACTGACTTTCCTACTCAAGCATTCATTTACATGGCAGTTTCTTTCATCTGATCCATCGCCACAGTCATCCTTATTGTCACAAAGACCTTCACTGGGAATGCACCTGCCATTTTTGCACATAAAAAATGAACTGTTGCATGACTGTTCTGGAAAAAGAAAATAAAACAGATGGAACATAAAGAGCATGCCATTGTTTTATACTACAATTGTTGAATACATTCACAAATATGATGACTTGTCTGTCAAAAATTATAGTAAATATATGTACATATAAAATGCTTTATATTCAGTGTAATATTTTATACATGAAGAAAATCAAGGGCAAACTGTACTTTCATGTTCAACACACCACAAATCTAGCTTTACATTGAAATTTAACAATCAAAATAAGCACCTATACTAAAATTAATGGAGTATTTCTGTCTTCATCTATACTGTGAAAAATGAGTTCAAAAGTGTAATGATAGCTTGACATTTCCCACAAGCCAAAAGTCTCCGAGAAATTATATGTCACTAAAAATTAAGAATCTGGAATAGCTAGATATTCCTAAGTTCTTTTTCTTCCCGGATATATAACATTGATATTTTTAAGTCCAGGCATAAAAAAGATACTTGCGGTAAATCATATTTGTCACAAATATAGCTATAGAAAGGAGTTCAAGTTTTCCAGCTACTCACAATCTGATGATTTAAACATTACTCATTACCATACATGATAAAAGAATGCCTATTAACATGTAAACTACATGAGGAAAAAAAAGTAATTGGGTTTATTCTAAAATGTATAACTATGTATTCAATCTAGTAAATAGTAAAGTGTAAAATAGACCAAGTTTGGCTATGTATATATTTCTGTTCAAATGATATGCAACTTATTTCATTTTGCCTAAGTTTGAATAATATTGACTCTATTTCAGTAAATCTCAATTTCTTTTATGATTAAATTTTCAAGTAGGTCCATACAAGAAATTATCCTCACATAAAATAATATATTAAGAAAAAATGACCTCTTTAAAGGAGGAGGATGATGAATTCATCTGGTTCATTGCCACAAATCTTCATATTTGGGGCACAGACTTACACTTCTATAACTAGCTCCAAAACAAAGTTGGTTACTAGGATCCTGCATGGTATCAATAGAAGCATCACATGCTTAATTATTTGCATTTCCTCTCACTGAATATTATATGAGACTAAAAAACAGAGTCACAATATTGCCTTAAAAAAACAAATTTTGGAATAAACATAGTATTATATATTTTCTGTACCTGCACTTTTACACTTTGGGTTTATAGGTGCTTCATCAGAATGGTCTGGGCAGTCAAAGTCTCCATCACACTGCCATTGAGTATTTAAAAGACATCGTCCATCAGCACAACTAAATTCTTCGGCATTGCACTGTCGGTATCCTGGAGACAAAGAAACATTCCAATTCATATAACAAATATTCATTAAAACTTTATTTCATAATGTACACTAAACTTAATTAACCATGTGAGTTACCCAGGCCTCTTATGGGAAATGTTTCTCATTTCTTTCTAGGGCAGTTACAATAATTGCAAGAGATATTTGTGGTTGGAAGTAGGATTAAAGTCCAGAAAACAAAGTTGGAAACAAGGCACTCTTATTTTGTTTCTAAGTAAGGAAACAAGAATGCAACACAAGTATACAACCTCTGTTCACTTATTATCTGTATCCTAAAGATTTCCTTTAGAATGGAAAACAAAATGAAAGCTACTCAAAATTATTTTCAAGACTAAGCTTGGTTAGGTACAGTACTAGAACATATGGATGAACTGATTCTGGGTTATAATAATAATTTTCAGAAGCTATAATGTCACGTTTATGTTTGGGAAGCAGCATGAAAAGTGTAAAGAAATTGTTAAAATGAGAAAATTAAAATCCAATTCATAGAGCAATAAGCACAAAACTATTGTAATTATCCTACATATTGATCCTTAGAGGCATTAAAAGGCTTTGCTCAAAACACAGTATCAATCAATGAGTTGTTAATGTTCATATCTAAGCTGGTTTGTAAGTAAAACTCATTTGATTTTGAATATTATGAAGTTTTAGATTGGTTTTTTCCCAGAGTTTGTTAACAATAAAAAATGTCATTTCTATTATAAACTTTCTGGTAAACGTAGGCAAATATTTTACTTTTGAAGAGAGAATGTAAGATTTTTATGGTTTAAAAATAAAATTTCAGCAGAAAAAAGGATTCAACAATGATTATGTAATTGAGATGTTTATCATATTGCATGGCAAAACTAGATAGTTCTAAAATATCCCCAGTTTCCCTAGTATTCCTTCCCACCCTCTCATTCTTCACTAGTTTCTCCTCTTCACTCAATACATATGTTCAAGTCTTTTCTAGTCCAATAACAATAAAAATCCACCCACATAACTCTTAACAAGACATGTCCCTTCTTCCCTGCTCAGTCAAGTCCCTACTCAATCTTCCTTTCACTTACTTACCTCTTTGCTCTCACTTACTTTCATTCATTAAAGTCTCATTTCTGCAACATCTACCTGCTGAAATTCCTCTCAGAGCTAATAAATATCAAGTGACAGTTGGTAAATTCATAGGTGTCTCTGGCTCCTACCTGCTTCACTGTCCTCCAGTGCTTGATGCTGTTGTCCATACTACCTTGGAAATAGTTTCCTGACTTAATATTCATAATCCACTCTCCCAGCCTTCTTTCTAACTTTGCTTTTGCTATTCCCTTTTCACCCTCTTTCTGTATAAAGTTTTCTTCTGTTCTACTCTAAAATGTTACAGGGTAAGCCCTTATTTCAGCCTTCAGTATATGGTTTTCCCCTTTTCCTTTCTACAGTGTTGGGTATTATCATTCTTTGTCATATTTTGAGTATCACCCTTATGCTGATGGCCACCAGGTTAATATTATTTGTCCTGATAATACTCTAGAACTAAATTTTCAAACACTCACTATACAGCTTCATGTGATTGTCTGATTAACACTTCATATTCAAAATGTCCAAAATTAATTATTTGTTACATTTCTTCTCCCACACCAGCAAAACTGCCCCTTAACCTCATTCTAAAGCTCATTAACAGCAACACCATCCTCCAAGTCATCCAAGCTAGAGATTCTACTTTATCCTCCATCTGTAACTGATAGATGCTACATAGGGAGGGCAAAGGGAAGCTAAATCTACTACCTTTCATAGGTATGTGTGGATTTCACAGCTTTTCATTTTATCTTTATTCATGTATACATTTAAATATTTTACAAAAATACTATGTTCACATATTTCAATATCAACTGGGAATTTTTAATATATTAATTTTTATCACAAAAGTTATATATGTGTTCATATATACATTATATAGATATGATGGTAGATAAATATATGTTACAAGATAAATTTCATAATAATAACATTAAATTTTAACAAGTAAATACATGTATAAAAAGATAAAGCAAAAGAAAAATGTTAAGTATCTAGATTCTCTGATAGCTGTGAACTGTATTCTTTTTTCCTCACTCAAATATTGATTTGGCTGTAAGATTGAACTAACCAGCTATATATTGTCTTTAAAATAAAAGGTATTTCAAAGTACTTAAAACCAAACACATTTTTATCAACATTTTCCAGTGTGGTTCTTGATAAGAATACACTACAACAAGTAGGCATAATTTTCAAATAGGTGTGTAATTATGGTAGAGTTTAAAGAGGTTATATGTGGTGTGTCTATATTACTGAAGTTACATGTTCTTAGTGAGATTAAGAAATGTATTTCTTTGTTTTTGTTATTTATTTATATATTCCTGGAGTCGCTTTAAAAGACTGTTACTCAGCCTGAGAATCTTCTCCATGAAAAGTTTATATATACTTACCACACTGCAGTGACTCATCAGAGCCATCTCCACAGTCATCATCATGGTCACAAACGAATTGCTTGGGAATGCATACTTTATTATGACACATGAAAGCATTTTCATCACATGTGTTATTGGGAGCTAAGAAAGACATCACAAGAAATTAAGTTAGATGAGCACCGATTTTATCTTCCCCTACTTTATGACTTTGGGAAATGTATGTTATTGTACTCAATACACTCAATAATTCAAGGTTATTTAAAAAAGGAAACTTAGCTAAACATTCAATATATCAGATAAATTAATAATATATATTAATATATGTATTTCATTATAAGTAGTATTTGAATATATGAATATAAATATATATAAATCAAAGTTTTAGTGTTAATATGTTCAACAATTCTAGAGTGACCTTGAAATTTCAGGCCATTTAGCAATTTGTAAGTTTGCCAAAGGATGAATTCAAAAGTTCATATGTGATAAAAAATCACTCAACTATAATAATGTGGCTGGGTTTTTTCTCTCCTCATGCTAGTAGTAAAGCTAGTAAAGTGATAAAAACCTGCTTCTTTGTGAAAAATGGACCTGAAAAGACCACCAAGTCCTAATGCTCATGATGGAAGTGAAAAGAAAATCAAAAGGGCTAAGAAAGTTACTGTTTTCAAGAGGAAGATAAAACTTTGGGGTGACTTCAATGGGGTGTTGAAATAGGTTAAGATCTATGGTGAGATGAGCCCAACCATAAGTACCACACTAAATTAGGAATATCAATCCATAAAATGGAACTTCAATCCTTTTGGAATACTGATCCATGAAAGTATTCTCTAGCAAGGGTCTTAACCAGCAGGAAAAATGGTTGATTAAAATCTGCAGTAAAACTTCAGCTGACTCGTACAGAGGAAATAAGCTTTAATAGTATATGTATAGCATCATAGAAGTTTGATCATTTAAGTATTTTAATTACTTTTCTTACATGGAAAGGGTAAATGCTATGATATGATTCAAGGTTTGGGATATTTCAAATGTTAAGAATCTGCTATATGATGGATGTTAACTAAGCTTGTTGTGGTAACCATTTTGTAATAAGATATAAGCATATCAAATCACTATGTTGCACACCTAAAACTAACACAATATTGTAGGTCAATTATATCTTAATTTTTTTTAAGTGAAAGCAAAAAGAATCCTCTACATGTTATTACAGTACACTGGAAAGGGGAAGGCTTTGCAGAAAGTTGCTCTTCAACTCATAATTTTATTCTAAGGAAGCTATTTACCTTCTTGGTGCATCTGTTTATTTATCTGTTTAATGAGGATAATAAAATCTATCTGATAAATTTTCTGCAAGAACTAGATAAGGTACATGAAGCAGATAGGCTCATTTTAGGTACTCAGTACATTCTTAGTTGCTGTTTCAATTCCTATCTATACAACAATTATCTTTGGAAGATCCCCAAAAGCACTTCACCGAGATACTGTGGAAATTCAATAATGTAAATAAAAGCACCTACCAAAATAACTGATGTATAATGGGCAACTGAAAAAATTTACATGCCTTCCAATCTCTCCCCTTCATGTCTTAATAGGCACTTTGCTCTATCTAGAACACTTCTCTTTCTTCTCTTTTTCTTTCACAACTGAGATAACGTTATTACTTTTCTTGAAATCCTTCCATGAGACTTCTAAGGTTTTTTTACACAATATTTATTTGTGATGACCTAGTATCTTTTTTATGTATCATTCTGACACTTAAGTTATTATAATTATTCTTTTACATGCTTATCAGCTCCCGATCCCCAAACTGCCCCACACTACATGAAAAAAGGAAATCTGCTTTCAAAACTCAGTAATGACTAAAAAGAGACATGAGCAGGTGAAACAAAAAGAATTACTTAAATTTAATCAAGTGTAACTAATTTTAAACAAATTTATTTTCAAAAATGATACAGAAGCCACATAGGAGCAGCCTTCAAAACTGCCCATTATAATCAGAGTAAAATTCAGTTACTAATCACTACGCTAACTTTTAACTGTGTGACAGCTTATATAACTCAAGTGAATTATGCCAATTCTAATGCATGAATTATTCTTTAAGATACTAAGCAACAGAGGCTTATTTGGAATTAATGCTTTCATGTCACTTCAGTACAATTTGTTGTATTTTAACATAATTTACTTAATAGCACCCATGTGGTCCAAAAGTGTTAATATGTGTCCTGGAGCATTAACTTGCTACAATAGCAACAGTATACAGGGACCATCTGGATCCCTGAATTGATGCATAATCCTTTATTATGTAGCCCTCAGTGGCCCCATTGACCTTTACAGGCACACATATCAGTTTCAAGATCAAACTGATTTATTCTACAATAGCATGAGCTCTGTGCACACAAGCCTGCCTCAAAGTCTTCTTTTTCCTTCTCTGCTTTAAATATCCCCCATATACACACACCCACATATACACACTATTACATTATGGCTTCAATTACAGTTTTAAAGACCTGAAGACAGGTCATCAGAGAGATGACTGGTAGACTTCACTTTAATAAGCAGAGTTCACAGCACTGTTCCTAATAAATTGCTCAACAGATCCCCTATGTGACCTTGGGATCAGCATTCAAATACTCAGTCCCTTCATTCTCCTGATCATGCAAAGGAATTTATCTAAATTTTTACTATTGAGTAATCCCCTGAAAATTTCCTGGGGTGACCTAGGGTTAGAAACTTAGTAAACTGTCTGGCCTCCAAAGTTGTTCCTCTGATTCCCCAGCTTCATTCAGCTATATACATACTATTTTTACCTGACCTAAGGGCTAATATCCTATCCGTAGGACTAATAGGTGTTTACTGACCTTCTTATCAGTAGTTATTTAGGATCACAGCAGCCATTTACAGAGTATCTGTAATAGACAATCTAAAAGCCTTCAAGGGGAGTGTGGGGTGGGAGGGTGGAGGAAGATGCTAAAAAGGAAGTAACAAACCCACCACACACACATACACAGCGTAGTTAAATTATCTCAGGAATGAAGTGAAAAATCTTTGTGCATCAAAACCAGTTTTAAAATGGGTAATCCCTCTGTTCATGTTGGAAACACTCTGAACAGTGGTTGGAGGGGTTGCTGAACTCTGTGATGACGACATCCCACCTGATTAATTCTGATACTACGTATGAGTCCAGGGATTGGGAAAGTGAGAGAAAAGGTGATATGGTGAGTACTACAAAAGCAACTGTCTGAGGATGCTGCAGCAGCTTTCTTTCATAGACAGCCCCATGAGTGTTCATACCACAGCCTGCTGTGGAGAGCTCATCGCTTCCATTTGGACAGTCCCTTTCACCATCACACAGCCAGTGTCGGGGCACACAGGCATGGGAGCCCTGGCAGCTGAACATGTCAGGCGCACAGGTGATGGCACCTGAAACCCACCAAAAAAAATGCCATTAAGATCACACACAGCAGGTCCGCTGAGAAAGATCTATAATTTCATTTCCTATAGACAAGAAGGGAAGCAGAAGAATGCCACTGACAAGGAAAAAACTGTAGTTATTTGGAATCATCACATATTATCCACCCCCTATGGACAGTTTCCTCTCAGAATTCATTCCTTCTCAGTAGCAAGTATTATATTTCTTAAAGCTACATGGCAGAAAATAATGAGTATGTTCTCCTTGTGAAATGTAGCAAAACATAGAAATCTCATTGTGAATAAACTGAGATAAAATTTCAAAAGGACTGAAACTATAAGGATAATAACAGCATTTTTATTGCTTAATATATGCTAAGCACTTAACACATTAACTAATTTAGTCCTCACAATCGTCCCAAATGGTAGAACTATTATTAGTCTCATTTCACAGAAAAGGAAACTGAGGCTCTGAGATGTTGGAAAGCTTGCAGGAAGTCACAAATTGCAGAGGGAGCCACATGTTGAACTGGGAGTCCAAAACCTTTTTGATTCCTAAGTATCTTCTCTTAACCAGTAATATCATTACTGTTCCTCCCCACCTTGTGTTGTTGAAAAGTATAAATGTATGCATGTTCCCTTTGCTTTTACACACTTAATAAACAGAATCTACCTTTTCTTCGCTCTATCAATTCAATGTTCCTTCAGTTGCATGATGTTGTTTTCAAATGTATACAGGAAAAAAAAAGAAATGCTTGTTGACTGTAAATTCAAAGGGTCATGGGTGGTTTCTCTTTGTTTTTCTTTATATGGGCATAGGGTAATCGAGTAAAATTAGAAAATGATTCATTCTCCTGGTATTTCCCAAGCCCCAAGTATAGTTATACATATTGAATGGTTTATTTGTTATGTATATAAAATATTTGTTGAGTAAATCAGTAACATGCCCCCAAATTTAACTTCCTTTTAATTTCACTTTCTTGTGACCAAATGCTACCCATAGAATAGATGTTAAAAATCAAGTTGTAAGAATTATTAAAAAAATGTTAGTATCTCCAAGAAGAAAATATGACTGCCTAGATTGATGGATAGTTGTTTCCAAACCTTTAAAGCTACTTTAATTGGATTACCAATTATCATCTTACTTTTCAGCCACAGAGTTTTTATGAGAAGAACATGTTTTTTAATGCAATGTTATCAATATGGGAGTACAGCAGGGTGACAAAGTGGAACCTCCTGGTGATCTTTTTCAACATAAACATGTCTCTTCCTACATATACTTTAATTGGGAGGACAGAATGGCAAGTGAATATTGAAAAGTCCCCCAGGTAATTCAGATTTGCTTATTTGTTGAGTATCAGTGCTAATAGAATGAGTTTAATATGATATCTATTACTGGAAGAAATTATAAAGAAAATCTATTAAACAAATGTTGCTTTAATTTAAAAATGAATTTACTTGCTACCTATTGTCTTTAGTACTTTCTATAATAAATTTCTCTTCCTACAAGTTATTTTTACATTATTCCTCCTTATTTATTTTTTAAGCTTGTCATAAGAACACAGAGTGTCACTTTCACTCTTAGACTCTCAGTTAGTGCTTTAATTTCCATAATATTTTTATTATTTAGCTGGAGATGCAAAAAATTGCATTCTTTCTGCTACGGAAGTTTCGATACATTTAGCACCCCTTGTCTACTTTCTTATTATCACTCCAGTTTATTCCCAAGGGAGGCATAATAGATATAGCATTGATTTTACTGTTGAGAAATTTAACTTTGTATGACCTTGCAGAAGACTAGTGTCTGAGTTTCACTCTAAAATGAGGGTTATGACTAGATAATTACTAAGATACCTAAAACTATAAAATGGCATAAAGCTCTTTGCAGCTAATTTTCTGGCTTCCTTTAAAGTGTTTCAACAGATTCTGTGTTAAGAGAATACCAAAACATCATCGTCAATTTAAAAGAAAACGAGCCAAGGAAAAAACTCATGGCTTCCTTCCATAATTACCACTGTCATCTGGAGACACATTGCCTTTCTCAGGGACATGAATCCCAAGGGAGAAGGAAGACAAGCTGAAGGAATTCTACCAGATCCATCTTGGGTACCTACTTAGATATAATATTTGATTGGTGAGAGTTACTATCCAATTTAGTAAGTATTTCAGAAACCTGAATTCTGTTCCTAGTTCTGTCATCACTGATTCACTGAGGGACTTCAGGCAAATTTATTAACCTCTGTGAGTTCTTCTTTCTTCATCTATCACATGACACAGGTGAACTAGACTATGATTTTTATAAGTGAATCCTCAAATCCCAAGTCAGAACCACTATGTGCTTATGAAGAAAGAATATGTCTATATCAGAATATTTGGAGATGGGGATTAAGAATCTACATTTTTAACAAACTTCTGAATAGGATTTTTTGTACACTAAAGGTTGAAAACCACTGAGATAAATTATTTATAAAGTTCCTTTCCAATCCTAAAATATTAAGTCCAATTCATTGACTGATGCTTGGTCTAAAGCAGTAATTTTTATGTAACAACAGCTTGGTAGCATATAAATTGCAGCCTGTGATTATATTAAATAGACTGGGTGTTTTGATGGCAGGTAAATATGTTCATTACCATTAAATCCTTTAAAAAACTTATCAGGGACTTCCCTGGTGGTGCAGTGGTTGAGAGTCCGCCTGCCAATGCAGGGGACACGGGTTCGTGCCCCGGTCCGGGAAGATCCCACATGCAGCGGAGTGGCTGGGCCCGTGAGCCATGGCCGCTGAGCCTGCGCGTCCGGAGCCTGTGCTCCGCAACGGGAGGGGCCACAACAGTGAGAGGGCCGCGTACCGCAAAAAAAAAAAACCTTATCAGGACATTGATAGACTTTGACATGACAATACCACTCTAAAAAATAAGGGAGGGAGCAGGAGAAACACAACAAAAGAGAATGGGAATAAATTCATTTATATAGTACACATTGGCCATGTCAGCTGATCACGATAATTACATAAGGTAGATGTCTTGTAACCATTTAATAGGTAAAGAATTTGAGGAATAAGGGATAAAATGGACCAGCCCATGATCACACAGCTGGAAAATGCAGACGCGGGAGAATTCAACTCTGTATGACTTTAGAGTCTTTACCACTTCTATTATACTGTGTCCACTTAAGAAGGATAGAGGTGTCAGGGGAGCCATTTAGTGTAGAATTAAACAAAGGGTCAAAAGCAAGATAATTTTAGAGACCAGAAACATGTTCAACCTGCTGTAAATTGGTAGTCTTTTTGTTAAAATTAAACAGGGAACTCTACTCAATACTCTGTAATGGCCTATAAGGGAAAAGAATCTAAAAAAAAAAAAGAAAAAAGAGTGGATATATGTATATATATAATTGATTCACTTTGCTGTACACCTGAAACTAACACAACGTTGTAAATCAACTACACTCCAATAAAAAGTTTTTTTAAAAGAAGTATTTAATAGCAAAGAGAAACAAAGTAATTAAAACAGACTGGCCAGTCATCTAATTAATTAATGATTTTTTTTCCTTTCACAGGTTTTCGATAGTAATCTTTCTACATTTATCTTTATCTGTTGTATAACTGAATTGTTTCAGCTGTGTAAATAAAAAGTAGATTTTAGGTGGCTTAATACAGGAAAATAAATTGCCTACTTTCTGAGGATAGCTCCAATTTTATGATATATACAGAGAACTTCATTTTAGTGTGAACATTATAAATCTTATAGTCCTTTTTCCATGATAGTGACCTAAATAGCAGGCCACAACTCCTGAAAATTTAAAAAATGTGTTAAGTACACTTAACTCCATAAATGAGCCTTATTCTATGACTCAGGTCCTTTTCGCTCTTAAATGAGAATGATAACAGTTATGAAATAGGGTTGATATAATGAACAAAGAATATATAGCTATAGGTTCAAACATACATATGGAAACTGATCAGAAAGATAAATAGACAGATAGACATGTAAATAATTTAGTAGAATGCCTGGCCAACCATAACAAATATAGGGAGATTAGGTTGCTTCCTTCTTCTACCTCTTAAAAAATTCATTTAATAATTAAATTTAAATTATTTGTTAAATGTCTGTGATTAATTAAAAGAATCACGTTGGTTTTTAGCCAATGTAGTTGACGTACAGTAAACATAGACATTTGGCACTCTACCTCTAATCCTATAAAGCTGAATGTTTAAGTACATTTTAAAATCATATACATTAGCCTGCTTCCTTAATTTCCATTTAAAACAATTCAATAAGCGTAATTACTATAATACACAAACACACACCATGTGTGGCTTATGGCAGTATAAACCTGCATAGTAAATTTGGATGGTGACTTAGCAATACTTATCAAGAGCAATGAGAAAATTTTCAGTCATTTGATCCAAGTAATCCCAATCATTGAGATCCATTCTAAAGAAGTCACTGAAGACTAGAAATACAATTTGCAAATACATTCATTGTGTCAATATTCAGCAAAAAACCCTAAAACTCTTAATAGTAAATGTATATATGAAAAATTGTAGACTGATAAGTTGTCATAAAAATAATAAAAACAGTTACATCGAAATGTATATACATATAAGCTTAATGTTAAGTTTAACAAAGTAGAAGACAAAGTTTTCTGTATACTCTAAAACAACAGAGCATATGTATCATACTCCTAAAAACTGAATAAGAACACAAAAGAAACAACTCACCACAAATGCTATCACTTTCATCTAATCCATCTCCACAATCAGCCTCTCCATCACAAATCCAGTGTTTAGATATACATTTTTGTGCAGAACATGCAAATTGGTTCCAAGAACAAGAGGAACCTAAAAAAACCCCAAAAAACAAGCAAAAAAACCCATAAGAATGTTTGTTTTAGGTGCAAAAGAAAAAATAAATCCTTTTGAGACATTCTTAGGAAAGATCCAACACGAGAAAGTTCTTTAGACTTTGCTAAAACCAGCCATCCCAAATAAAACAAGCCAGAGTCCTCTTCTCTATGACAGTGCTATAAAATTTTGACCACGGCTTGCATATTCCCTCTGAGTTATCCAGGTTATACAACATTGTTCCTTCAACATAATCTCACAGGGTTTGACTTTGAGCTAGTCAATATGCTGGTCACTCTCCCTAAGTACATTACTGTCTTTTTCTAACATGTAGGGTACAGATATAAAATAAATATTCCAAGTGTGGTCTAGTCATTTTTTCCTAATTTTTTTTTTTTTTTTTGCGGTGCGCAGGCCTCTCACTGTTGTGGCCTCTCCCGTTGCGGAGCACAGGCTCCGGACGCGCAGGCTCAGTGGCCATGGCTCACGGGCCCAGCTGCTCCACGGCACGTGGGATTTTCCCGGACCGGGGCACGAACCCGTGTCCCCTGCATCGGCAGGTGGACTCTCAACCACTGCGCCACCAGGGAAGCCCTTTTCCTAATTTTTAATCTATTTTTGAACAGTTGGAGAAAAAAATTACATCCTAGGCAAGGTCATAAATATGGTGAACTCACCACCATATACATTTGTTTTTAAAGGTGACGTGACTCAGGGGGTTTTAGCTTGATGACAAGCCATCAGTTTTGTACCTATACATACTTAACACTTTGATGTTTTCCTTTCCCTCCCTTGGGAACACTTAAATCTGACTAATAACATCCATATTCATTGGCATGGTGGCTGGTATTTTATTACCAAGTTATGCATTTATAATGGTGTATTCCATTTATTTCCAAAGTTTGTGATTGCTCTCCTCCACCCTTAGTTCATTTATCACCAGGAAACACCCAAGAATAAAATCCTACCAAATTAATATGTTCAAAATGTAAATGACTATAAAAATAAAAATTTGATTTTTATCGTATGAACTATTTAAAAACTTTGCATTTTTATTTCAAATATTTACTAACATGACCTGTGAAAAGAGAGACATTTAGAAAAACTGAAGCCCAGAAAAAATAAAATTAAAGAAGATACAACCATATAATGGCTTCTGTTCCAGGAAGTATGACTCTACATAAACTATTTGTAAAGTTCTCTGTTAATCTTGTTCAGAATCTGGCTGTAGTGTAAAGATATATGGCATCTTAATCAAACAAAATGCACCTTCATATTTCATGATGACATTTACTTTTATGGGACTTTGGCATTTCTTAGACAATCCATTTTTAATCTTTTTTCCTACTCTGTCTATTCATCACAGTGTTTGCTATTTGTGTTAAATGAAAAGAGTGAATATATGCTTTTCATGCTTTTTTAGGAATTTTTTTGGCCTGAAAATCATAAAATCCATAAATTTTATAAAAATAAAAATTTTAAATGCTTTCTTACCTTGCCAAGTGAAATGAAATGTACACACACAGAAATTAGGATGTGGATAGTGATAGACGACAGTTTGAAGAAATGCAAGTTTAACTATACTATTTAAATCTATACATGTAATTAATAGAAACATTTAGGATAATAATAGTCAATAAGAGGTAGGGAGACTATAATGAGTTGTGTGAGCTAAATCCTTATTTTTCACAGCAGAAGGTAAATACATTAGCATCTAAACTTAATAAGTCAGGAAATGAAGGTATAAATATATCATTTAGATTAATGGAGGTAACCACTAACAAAAATAGAAAAGGTTAAAAGAAAAGGCTGTATGGGAGATTGTTATTCTCCATTATAAGTTCTTCTGTTCTATTTTAATTTTTACCATTTTGTGATATTTAATCAAAATAAAAATTGATGTTAAAATCAATTAGCAATATTTTGTGTAAAATCTCTATGTAAGAGAACATCAGTATATAAATAATAATATAGTTTATAAAAGTAAAACAAGATATAATGTCTCACCACAGTGGAATTCATCAAGTCCATCCTCACAATCTTTCTGACCATCACATACCCAGGTATTCAAAATGCATCTTCCACTAGGACAACCAAAATAATTTTCTTCACATCTGTGTTTGTTTTGAACTGTGATAAAATATAGAATTTAATGTCAAATAAATTAAATTAATCTTAGACTTATGCAATATAGGTAGATATCAAAACACTAATACTCCTTGAACTGGAAGAGGTAAATAACAAGGAAACTTAAATAAAAAGAGCTGAGCTGAGGACATTAAAGAATGTCCAGGCCATGAAAACCAAGGAAAAGCTAAAAAACTGGCATAGACCAAAGGAAATCAGGGAGATATGATAACCAAATCCAATCTAGGATTGGATCCTGGATCAAAAAGAGGATATTAATGGAAAAACTTGTTAAATCCAAATAATGTGGAGTTAACAAAAGTAAAATAAAACATTTTATAGATGACTATAAAATGAGTAAGCCAAAGGCTAAAGAATCATTTTAGGTGGAAAATATTCTTAATTCCATACTTATGAAAAATAAATTACATTATAAAATCATTAGTAGATTTTTGCTGAGAAAGTGTAAACTTGGTGTTCCATACTTAGTGGGTACATATGCTTTGACAAGATTTATATATGTATTCTCTATTTTAAGGAAGGAAGAAAAACAAGTTGCAGTACAATCTCTAAAATTGTCATACCTAACAAAAATATCATGAGAATAAAAAGTATCTGTATATAAAATTATTTTGTAAATTATTTATTTTTCAGATTGTGGAGTATTGTTATTATCATAACCTCCAAGAGCACATAGAAAATACTAGATTTTTCTCTTTATTGGATGTCATTCGTCCCCTTGCACCTTCAGGTTTACATAGATTGTGACTGGCTCACAGCCAATCAGGAAATAAATCTTAGAGTACACATGGCATCACACCATAGTGATACATTATGACTATTTTAAGGTAACAAAAATTACCTCCATTCTATTTTTTTAATGCCAACTTTGTAGATCTAATTAAAGATGAAAATTACTTTTTGAAGGGATTCATCATTAACACAAAAAGTCTTGATTGTGCTGGATGTCTTATTTTTTCTTAGGATATTGCCTAGATATAACCTAAGATATTTAGACTGACCTTTTACTGGCTTCCTGTTTGTCTGCCCACCTGTTTCATAAGTGTATATTAATGCCCCTTTCCTACTTCCCCAATATAATCACTATTCTCTATTAATGTTGAAAGTTAGCTTTCAAAATCACTTATTAATCCTAGAAATATATAAAGACTACAAATAAAGTTAAAAAATATATATTTACAAGCTTAATAGATACCTAGTTATACTGCCTTCAAAATAATTTAAAAAATTAACTATAGCCATAATGAGATAAAGAATTGTTGCAGAAGAAACATTGGAATAAGAATCTAAACACCCAGTTTCCATGAGTCTAAAGCAATTTTCTATATTTAATGTTTTACATAATGAAGGATAAAGTTAAAAAAAAAAAAAGAAAAGATGTAGATGTGCAGTGAGCCAGTGCCTCCAGAGAAGTTATCCAGTTCCTCCTAGGATACAGCGAGTCTTTTCAAACCCAAAAGGAACATCACAGAGTGTCACACACTGATGAGGAGTGGGGAAAAGAAAAAAAGGAATCTGCTATTTCCCAGTTAATTGATTGATTATGCACCATTAAGAATAGCAATTCTTTAGAGTGGATCGTGTGTGTGTGTGTGTGTGTGTGTGTGTGTGTGTGTGTGTGTGTGTACTGTATACACTTGTGTGTGGAATACCTACAAATATAATTTCTTAAAATGTTTCAAAAACTTATTACACATCTACTAAGCATGGAAAAAAGTGATTGTAGCAGCAGGGTCAGGAGAAGGAAACAGCAGTATGAGAACACATGGAATGGTATACTACAAGCATATCTACTTTCAGTTATAGTAATTTAACATCTTTCTTTCTGGTATTATTATATATTTCTAAATTTTGTTTCCTTAAATAGTTAGAAAGAAATAGGTTCATGACCTTCTCATGGAAGGCATTCTCCTAAGAATGAAGATGACACTTTTCAGTGCTTGTGTAGGTAACGATGGCTAATATATATAAATATACCAGTCTGACATTGATCCAGTAATGATAACTATTATGTTACCCATACTAGTATGCCAAAAGATTGTGTAAGCTGCATCAAATAGCCTAACTTGACAATACAAGCTGTATAATAACAGGAGTAAAGCCAGTGGTGAGAAACACAGTCTCCCTCCCTTTAGTCTATAGATAGTTTGCTCTCAGTATACACTACTTCTGTGAAAACTTTATAGATTACACATTTTAAGACGTAATCACCAACTTTAAAAGGATTAATGAGGAACTGAACATGAAAAAAGAAATTGATCCAAACATAGAACAGATTTCTCAAGTATCATTCCATAAGTCATTAAAAAATATAAAGTGGCATGTCTAGCACGTCTAAATTAAATTATTTTTAATTTAGTCTACAATATTTGTTTTAATCTGAGCCATTGAGTATCAAGAATGAAAATTAATAAGTTTATGCTATACAACCAGCCCCTAAATCTTCAAGGCAAAGACTGTTTTGTCTTCTAGAATTACCTGGGCATTTTAATTCATCTGAATAGTCTCCACAGTCGTTAGACCCATCGCATATCCAGGTTGGCAGAACACACAGTGAGGTAGAATTACATCTTATGAATCCTGTGGTTTTCACTCCAAGTTTATAGAAATATGTACAGTCCGTATTATCTATAAGGAGGTCAACAGAAAAATGAAAAACACCTCATCTGCAAAGATTATAAGCCTTCTATGTAGGTAATAGAAACAAGAAAAGTTAACCTCATTTGAAGAAGTAAATATGCAATTATCCTACACAACAAGGGTTAATTACATATCAATTCTGGACAAGGTTCAGTGAAGAGTTAGACACTGTTCAATGTAATGCCAAAGGTGCACAGGCATGAACAAACAAAATGTAATGGAATATCTTACTGCAGTTCTTTTCATCTGAAGCATCTGCACAATCTAGGTTCTGGTTGCATCGTGCTGATCTTGGAATGCACGTCCCATCTGCACAGCGGAACTCAACAGTGGCACAGGTTGAAACTAGAAAAACAGGTAAATAAACAAATGGATAGACGAGATAGAAAATGACTCCCTGCTTAACATTTTGAGTACTTTAATTCTTACAATTTTGTTTGGTTTTGCCTTTTTAACTCTGGGCAGTCAAACTTGACACATAACCCCCAACAACAAGCTTGGGTTAGATGCCTCATACATCTTCCCCTGTCATGCTGTTCTTCCCTACATTGTAGTACTTATAATACTGCATTGCAATGTCCTGTTTATGTATCTCTCCCCCCATTAAATTGTAAGCAGGGACCGTGCCTTGTTTTCCCTATCATACCATATCAGCGCTAAACCAACAACAACAAAAAAATTAAATGCTGCTGAAACTTCTCTCTCCTTCCAACTTCAAAATACAAGGTATGACACTAAGCAAATGCCTGATTGAGTGCGTACAGAGAAATCCTGATCTGTTTGCTAAGAAGTGAAACATTCACTGCTATGATAAAATGACACACAGACAGAGTCAGAGATTGAGACGGAGAAACCAGAGTATTTGCTTTATTTACTCAAAGAGGGAATAGTTCAGCACTGCTAGAAAGTCATCATGCTAAGTTATCCCCTTTCACATGGCCATATTACTAACATTTGGTATAGGAAATATGGATTCCTCATGCCAAGAAACATACAAATGTGGTATGACTTGTCTCTGTTGTTGGAAAGGATTTCCAAATCCCTGCTATGCTTAGATGAAAATCAGTTTTGATATGCTACCATCATTACATATTCTTTGTACAGAATAGCTTATTCTTCATCATATATTCCTTTTTACTTTGCTTACACGTTCATTACCATATAATGGTTTTCAGCAATATGTTGTGAACAGGTGCATGGCTTGTTTTGTGTTAGATTAACTTAGGTGAGATTTTTATTCCAAATTCAAATTTCCACAGGTTGATTATGTTAATGTACAACCTGAAGGGCTCTATGATTATGCCACTTTTACTAGGGTTGATATTTTAAAGAGCCTATTTAATTATAAATATAAATTATATCAATTGTAAATGGTTAAAATGCTATCTTAAAATATGCAAATTTTATTCAAGGGTGTGTATGTCATTTGTATTTCATAATGCACTGCTCTTATTATATTTAATTGTATCTTGCAATTGTATCCTTATTTGTGTTTAAATGATGATTTGAATAAATGTTTTATTTACAATTTGCAATTATAATTGCTTCACTGTTTTCTTCATTAAAAATAACATCATTTGAAACAGATAATGCCATTATAAGTAGAGATAAATACACTGTTCCAAACAGGAAAAAAGTAGGTATTTTTCTTTTATGCCTAAATAAAGCAAAATCTCTTCCATATTCTTTTCTATTACATTTCACATTCAATATTTTTCAGTAGAAACAATAAATGGAATATATAACAGAAAATAATCATGACAAGCATATACATTTTGTTTCTGACTTTGCTGTCTATCAGCAGTCTCCTATTAAGAGGTTGTGTTCCAAAAGATTCCTCATAATTCCATTATTTAGAAGACAGAATTCATTTCTCTGTGAAACAATATTCTAGATAGTGGTAATATTCCTAAACAAGTCTACAAAGATTTATCTCTAAGCTACTTGACGTGCATTATCTAATACTTGCAGTTAGAGTTTGGGATACCAGAAATCCTAATTCTGAAGCAAAGGGGGCAATCACAACCCATTCCACCATCTCCATCTCCCTCCAAACTTCCATAAAGAATCTTCTGTGTACATTGCAGGGAGTCCATCTGGGTGGGTATTGGTGGCAGATAAAGTGAAGAGGCAAATTATGACTACATGAACATGGAGATGGCATGTCAGACTGTTAAGAGGACTGGAGATTCAGGGATTTCACAGTAATGGAGTTTCAAAAATGGTGCTGGGGGCTCAGGTGGAAGTAAGTGTAAAGAATGGCTTGTAAGAAGAGTGGAAATGTGGAGTAAGTAGAAAACGGTCTTGGATGGAATTCTAGGAATAACAAAGAAACAGAGCAATTCTAACCAGACGAAAAGAAACTATAACTTTAAAGTTGAGAAGAGTGGTTAGGAAATAGTATTTAAGAGAAAGGCAAGGGAAAAAGTGAGGTAGGGGGTCAGGAGAACAAAAATAAGCCTACTGAATCTTGGTGAGGAGGGCAAGGGCAGCCTATTAGAGTGGGTGAGATGTGCAAATAGGAACCGATTGTCCCTTTACTTCTAATCCTATCTCTATAGATTCCATGACTTGATACAGAGTTTGGGAACCACTAGAGGGTTAAATAGGGTGATAAGTGGCAATGGAATTGGACATGTCAAGTGGTTGCACAATTCCATAAGCAGCAGGATCAAGGTGGTTGCGGGGATTAACGTCTCTAGCATTTGTAGACAAGGAAAGAGAGTCCTGGAACAGGAGAAATCCATGGGAACAGTGACAATGTCACTTCATAAGTAAGCAAATGCTTCTTCTGCCAAAACCTCTACCTCTCTAGTCCCTCAACCATGTTCCTTTCTTATGTTGCTTTGGTCAGTCAAGTATTGAAATGTGTTTCACCCTCAGGGTGGGTCTTGAGGGAGAAAGGTTATGGGATCTCTAATTTGTCAAGTGAATATGAAAGCCTTCTGACAACTTTTCTTCAGGCTAAAAGTCCTAGAAAAAAGAGAACAGAAAATAATGTAGTCCAAATAAAGGTAACCTGAGTGGGAAATACTAGACTCTTCCCTCCAGATAGTACAAAGGAAAAAGTACACCTACAAAATGTGAGTGGAAATATACCACAGCCACACCAGGAATAGCAACGAGATACAACAAAGGAAGATCTGACAGGGATGGTAGCTCAAAAGTACCAGCAAGAGAGAAAGTAAAACCATTCTTTCCCTATTTAATCCACCTTATTTTCTCCATATCAGTTAAAATATTTAATCAGGTAGGAAAGATATAAAATCAATTAATCTTTCCCTAGTTCTTAGGATGTTCCTTGTAAATAACCTAACTCAACGTTTTCTTTTACAACTCTCCTACCCAGCCTGTAGCAAAAGGAAAGTGACAAGGAAAAAATACATGAAATGTGCTGTCATATCTCTTCTGTTTACTTTCAAACCACATCTTTTATTGAATTCACTGCTTAGGCTCTAAGGATATGCGAACCTGGAAGGAATGATGATTTCCCCTGCAGGCACGCTTATTCTTTTCCTTTAGCTTGTTGTTTGTGGAATCTTCAAAGTTTTGCTATGAATTTGGGAAAAAAAAAAAAAAGAAAAACTCACCAGTTTCCTCTCCTCTAGGTCATCTCAGAAGTACTTAGCTCTCCAGTCCACCTAAAGGTGTTCAGATGGCCCAAGGAAGTTCATGTACTTCTCAAAGGGAGTATATTCATCTCAACAGGGAGCGAAGGAGGGATATTATGCACTCTCTACAAATCTATTCACTCAAACTCTGACACAACCAGAAGAGGAATACAGAATGATAAATTTTCTGAACAACTCCTTAGATCCTCACCAGCTAGCCTGATGTCTCAAGCTCTCAGTCATGAAAGGAACTGCTACAAAGGGGCAGTAATAAAAGATTGATGAGGATTTGGGGTTTTGCTTTGCTTCGAAAGGATAGGAAACCAAAAATAATTCCTTGCAATATCCATTTCCACTCTGTAAATAGATTCTTTGACTTGTGGCATTAAAAAAGAGTAATGTTAATTCTATTAACATCTAAATTAAACAAACAAAACTGTAATAGTACCTCAAATAATTTACGGATTATTCCACCATAGCCTCTCTCCACAGCCTATCAAAATCTCTCTGTATTTATTGACATTTTTATTGTACTGTTTAAATTGTGTTATATTTTACTTTATTTACATTCAACAATAACATGTGGTTTGTGTGTGTGTGCATATATACATACAACAAAGCACTGCATCCCTATGTTGCACTGACTACAGAAACAAAGAAGGAGTGACTGGAAGAAAAGCCTTGGAGAAATCATTCATTTTTCATTCTTCCTGAGCCTGTTCATGTTCCTTTTCCTTCATTATCTTTTAAGTGCTGTAAGTGTCCATGTATTTGACGGACACAAATCTGAATTAATGCTTTATAAGAAACTGGCTTATGGAAAAAGGACCCAAGTAAGTCTTTCCTCTATAGCATGAAATGTGCCCTACAAGGATACCATGTGAACAATCTTAATATGAGAGAAAAATCAAATCTAAAAGATGCAAGTGTAATATGTAACCTTTCATCTAAAAAGCTACCCATTTGTTTATCCTAAGGAAGCTAGTCCGTTTACTCAAATTTATTAATTTTTAGTATGTAATATAGCGTGTGCTTGAGCATTTGCAGTTTCAAATGTACTGCATTAGATAGGAAGAAATTCAAGGCATAAGATTTTGTTGTTGTTTCTTAAGATATCCAATTGTCATGATCTCTTTACTATTATTATCACAAAAGAAAAGTTTTGACAGAAACTTGATTCTCAGAGTAGTTCTGTCCCCAAGTATATGGCTGAGATGGTTATAACACAGAAATCGAGAGCTTAGATTTAAAAAAGGGGAAATAACATTTTGAGTTATTTTATTGTTATTCAGCTGCTGATATTGATATCAGTAGGCAGAATGAAACCTATCTACACTTTTGGAAGACTTACGGCTTCAACCAGCCACATAAGAGTTTAATAAACACATATCATGTACTAGGTACTATATTTCATAAACCCAAACACACTAATTTACTTACTGCTTTTCAAAAAAAACGTTTTCCAAGAAAATCCACAGTAACTGATTACATTTCTGTAGCTCTTTTTATGAATTTTGTTTTAAAATCTACTTTCTGTATTTATTACTCAGTTCCTTCACATTCTAGCTTGATATTTTTATTTTTATCCTAGCTTAAAGTTTTCATTATATTCTCCTTTCCTGCTTATAAATAACTAATAGAACATACCCATTTTCTTGTCTCCTTCTAGTTTCCTTTCCTCCTTTCTTCCAAATGCTTATCCATTTCCCTCTACTTACTCCCGTATCTTACAACATTTTATCATTTTTAATATTTTATAAATAATATGAAACAATAGTTGACTTAATTTTCAAATGTACTTGGCTCTTCCTAAACTACAGTGTCAACTTTGATAGTAAGCTACTCAAGTGTTTGGCCAAGGTCATATATAGTCTAAGACAGCAGAGTAACTTCTCAGTCCTTTATCAGCTACAAAATAACTTGTACATATTCTACTCACTTCCTCAACTTTTTATAGCCTTCTCGTTACAACTGTACTTCACACATCTTTTCTTTACCATTAACCTTTTTTAAAAATAATCTGTATTCACTGTCTTTACTTTTGCACCATTCATATTCTGTTTCAATCCAATGTGATCTGGCTTTTCCTTGCCATTACACTGAACTGACTCTCTTGAAGGCAAGCAAGAGATTATCTTCTATTTGCCAATTACAGTGGACACTCCAGTCTATGCATGCCCTCTTGCCTTCTCTGTAATGCAAACTTATCCTCCTTTCTTGAAAAAAGAATTTCTTGTGAAGCTCTTTTTATTAGTCCTGTGGGACTTTTCCTTTTTATGTTAGTATCTTTTATTTTTAACAGGTCATTCTGATGCACTCCCTTAAAACAACTATTACACCATACATCCTTTGAGCTCTCTCTCTTTAAGAAGTCCAAAATCAATACTTCTGATCTAAACCTACTACCTGAGCTCCAGATCTATATTTACTTATATACCTTTCAAACAGTTCCATCTGAATGTCTACAGGTGCTCCAACCTCAGAATGTGGACTATTCTTATTATCTTATCCCCATCTAACACAAACAAAAGGCACACAAAAATAAATTGAAAAATTAATGAAAACAAATAATATTTTAAAAGCATACAACACACACACACACACACACACACACACACACACACACACACACACGTATCTCCTCTATTCCCATGCTTCCTCCATGTTTATTACTGCAAAAGACTTGTTATGCTACCTTTCAAAATGCTGTTATATCTGTCTCTCTCCTCTTTATTTTTAGCTTTGGCTGCTGTAACAGGCTACTGTTTTGTCCTTCTGATCTCAGTATTAGAGTTTTCATTCTAAAATCATAGGGTTTTTTTCCCCTTTTTTAAACTTTCTGGTGACTGCAAGATAAAGGTCATGTTCTTTAACATGGCACCAAAAAAAATCTTCATTTCCTGATTCTTTCTTCTAACTTGCCTCATTTTTTTCACCACTCCCCAATATGCAATCTGGCTCTAACCATATCAAATTTCTTGCAGTTTTCATTATTGGTCCTTCTACTTGGAATTCTCTTCTATTTTGATCATTCTACCTTATTTATACTTTAAGACTCAGCTTAAATTTAATCTAGTCTATGAAACCTTTCAGGATACTTCTAAGCCCCAAAAAACAAAACAAAACTGTGTTCTTAATAGTGCAATCATAGCACCTTATATTCATCTTCACCTGCTTAAATGACTATCTTTCACTTAGAGTTTGCACTACTTGAGGGCACACACAGAACTCACAAATTTTTTGTCTCAGTCTTTAATGAATTTTACCCAATAAAGTATTTCAATGGATGGAAAGATTTTTAAAGGTAAATTGGTTTGGAAAGATCTGTTGGATCCAGGTTTTAGGAGACCTTAAATGTCAGACTAAAAACTTGTCACTTATTCTGCAAACATTGGGATGCTTTATCTGGGAAGTGATAAAAAAGTAAATGTTTACATAGCATTTACTATATGCCAAGTTCTATTCTAATACTGATATACTTATTTAACTATTGTCTCTTTTTCTTAAAGCTTGGGAAACTGAGCCACGGGTTGGTTAAGTACTTTATCTAAAGTCATGCAGTTAGTGGTGGGGCTGGGGTTCTATCCCAGGTAGTCTGGTTGCTGATGTGTCACAGTCGTTACTATGGTAAAATGTTAAATTGTTTTAGCATGACTAAAAATTCATATTTACTGGAAAGAGTAGAAACAGGGAGACCAATAAAAGGGCTACTTTGTTAACCCAGGCTCAAAGTAGATTGAAGGGGAATCTATCTCAAAGAATTGGAAGATTTGTTGATGATTGGACATGTGGGTGATAAAACATGGTGGAAGGAGGAACCAAGGATAGTACCAAGGTTTCCTGTCCAATAAGTAGGAAAATGATGAGAGCATGGTTAGGAGAGAGAATTAAGGAATGAAGGGGGACATTTTGGAGCAGTAGATTCAGTATTACACATTCTGGTAGAAATGTCCCATAAATAGGGTGGTTGAACTGAAAAGGTGAGAAAGAATTTTGAAGTGAGCAAAGAAAGAAATAGAAACGGAAAATATAGTCATAATTTTCAGCTGACTCTAGTAACTCCCCTCCAATAGCATTTACCAAAGTATGGTCCATAGATGCTAACTGTTGTTATGTATCAAAAGGGGGAAACCATAGTGCTCTCAGGAACACACTTTGGAAGAGTTTAGGAAACACTTAGCATGATAATATTCCGAGGCTGATACAATATGTGTTTACCTTTACAGTCTAATTCATCAGAGTTGTCTCCACAGTCGTTTCCACCATCACATAACTTGCTGTGAGGAACACAACGACGATTGTAGCAGGGCTTGAAACCTCTTCGACAGCTTCTGTTTTCTTACACAGAAAAGAAAAACACATACTTGGAGGGCTTATAGAACTATTTTTACAAAAAGAAGATCACAGATGATACCTCATTCACAATAACTGGATTGTGGGTCTATAAAACAAGTGCCATGTGGCATCCAAGTTCTGGGTTAGAATATCTGTGCATTATCAAGTAGTTCATGCGGTAAAAAGCCTTTCTGACTGTTTTAACCTCAGCGATTCATACTCGGAGACCTCGTCAAACTATACTCACATTATTGTTTCTGGCATTTCTGTAAGCTAGCGTAGAAATAAACATGTATCACATACTCAAATCTGAAGAAAAGAATCTCTACCTCCAACGCAATAAAGACACACCAACACCTATCCCCTCTCTCCTTTGTACCCCACAAAGATTTTAAAACAAGGAAAAAAGTGTCAAAACATGTATCCCTGAATCAGTGAATCCAAGAGTCACCTACTTATCCATAGATTTCTCTTAGAAATCATCTTAAAATGTCTATCCAAATTTTCTAAGCAGAATAATAATTGCCTCTGAATTCTATTTACCTTAATGAGAGTCTCCTGACATTTTCTGATTTGGGACAGAAGGTACCACTCACAATAATAATAGCTGCCATTTACTGAAAAGTAATTTTGTGCCAGGCTCTATATTGAGCATATGTAAATGTACATTTGTTTATTTAATGCTCCCAACCATCACCCCATCTAGATTTGCTTGGTAGTGAGAAACTAAAACATAGAGAAGTCAGTACCCTTGTTCATGCTAGTCACACACTAGTATGTTTGGGAACAAAGATTTAACCTCAAGTGTGATTCTAAACTCTGGAATCTATACCTGAGATTGTCAAACTATAGTCCGCAGGCCAAATGCAGCCTATCAGCCTGTTTCTATATGGCTCTGAAGCTAAGAATGATTTTTACATTTTTAAAGGATTGTTAAAAAAATAGAATATGTGACAGGAGTATATATGGCCCACAAAACCTATAATACAAGCTGATCTTTTATAGAAAAAGTTTGCTAACCCCTTCTCACACAAATATTACCTGCCTTCTAAGAAGATAAAAATAATGTGAAATATATTCTCAAGCCAATTCATAATAATATGAATTTGTAAGTTGATTATTATTACATTTTTATATGCTTTAATATTTTCATGGTGTACAGGATATAGCTGTTGATTCAAGCAAACATGTCATTTGAGGTAAATTCCCTAAGATTTCAGTTACATATAAATTATGGACAAATTACATTTGACTGTCATTTTAACCAAGGGTGTTTATTCTGCAATGTAAAAGTGTGACATAAATTTCCCAAAATCCATCCTCCTCGTTTTAACTTTCTCTAATATAAGAAAACAAAGGAGAAAAATAGAAGCCAAATATAGCAATTCCAGATATAGATTCCTAAATTTTGCAAAGCATATAATACCAGTACTATTGTATTACAGCACAAAAATAAATCAGACTAATTTAGAAATAATCTGGATCAATTCTATAATAACTATTAATGATTGCATAGACACAAACTTTCAGGAAAAATATTGTTGCAGCGAAGGCAAATAACAGTTGCTTACTAGCGTCCAAAAGCCAGTCTCTACTTCCAAGGGAGAAGGAAAGGTTGACTACCACTTGGTGTCACCTACAGAGGCACAGATGGTGGAATTCCATACTTAATGGGGACCATGGCTAAAGCAATCAGCCTTTGTACCTAAGGACACTAGCTCTGGGACAATCCTGGAGGCAAAAATAGAATGAAAAAGACTTTGATATCAGCACAACAACATGCTATTGACTGATGGGGGACTTTTGCTGCAGAAGTAACCCTGCAATATCTACCCAATAACTGATATTTCTGACATATTTTTAGGAATGTAAGCCTAAAACTTTTTGCTAATGATGAATAATGAAGCAGCTCAAAAGACAGGCTCCTGCTGTATTTAAATTTATACTTCATGCATGGAAAACCATGGGGAAATTCTTCAATGAATATCATGTGTTTTGGGTAGGAAATATGGTGCCCCATTTGAGTAAGAACAAAGCCAAATAATTTGCCTTAGATCTACATGTTAATGAGAGGCATTAAGGAAATCATACACATAAACCAAATGGAGACAATCACACCAAAAGCTATAAAAAGAATTACATTCTGAAATGAGTAAGTCATACATTGGAAACTCACCACAGTAGAGCAGTTTTTCATCAGATTTATCCTTACAATGAGGAATGCCATCACAGGTGAGCTGGTAATCAATACATTCTCCATTTCCACACTCAAACTCTGAATAAATATTGCAGGAAGAATTTTTAGCTGAAAGGAAAAAAGCCAACGTTTTATACAATAACAAACATTTTTGATGTCATGACAACTGTTTCCCTTAATCTTAATTATAAAAATAAACTAAAATTTATCTAAATATAAAATTAATAAAGGACAGTGGTTTATGGCATTTCTTTACAAAAAATTAAGAGGGACACTTTTTATTGTGCTGTCTTCAACCTCCCTTTGCAAATTTTTGGGAATTGCCTGACTTTATTTTTCTTTTATGCCTGTTTGTGTATTTTGTTAATTATTTGGTGACTGTACATGCATGGAGAGAAGGAGGGGTTTAAATCTGGGGGACTATATTTATGAATCTTTCTTAACAGTGTATGTTAAAAATAAATTTTTAAAAAGAGCCAGTTAAATAAGCTCTGTACATACTGAGAGTGTTTTTGTATTTTCTTATTGAAATCTCATGTATTCTTTAATACATTGAAATTTTCCAGTACATAGAGTTCTTATCTTTGAATGCTTGAATTTATTCATTACAAATCTCACCTCCAACTGGTCTTCCTCCCCAACTACCTGCTGAAGAAATCTCTGTAGCAGTTTCTATCAATCAGAAGTACTGGAATTGCTGAAATTACTTTCATCAGCCTCTTGCTCTATCCATGGTGAGAAGTACCAGGGAGCAGACCCTCTCTTCCTGCCACACGTGATCAGTACCTACTCCTTGAAATGCATGGGAATCTGTAGGATGTGCTAGTGGAGGACAATGATAAACTGGAAAGCATGTGCACCAGATGCTTATGGGCTCCAGTGGAATACTGCCATATTGTCCCACTTCTAAATGTCAGGATTTTTATAAGAAATTAAAAGCCTGAGTTTTTATGTGGTTTGCCCAACTTGTGAGCTTTTCTACAGTTAGGTTTCATCCCTGGAGTGCCAGTATGTTACCCTTGTCTTAGAAAGACCTCTCTTGGAGAAAACAGACTTATTTTTATTCTTAAATAATAGATTTACTAGCGAACTTTTGGGATGCAATGTTTTGGTTGTATTACATGCTATTTGCTTGCATGTACTCATTCCATTGCTTGTTGAAAAACTGTACAGTGAAAGTCAGTCATATTAATTATGTTGGAGGTAATTAGAATTCATTTATTTCTGCTAATGCAGGTAACACAACTTAATTTTACAATCAGTTTTTAGGATTTATTTCAGGAATAATTAATTAAACAGCCACAAATACTGTTTAAAGTTTCCAGTGTTTTATTTCTTTATTATCCTAGAATTTAACTCATTTTACTAGAATATCTATCTTATCCACCTATTAAAGACTTATAATTTAACTCTTTAAATGATAGCACCCCTCTCTAAAGGTAATTTTATTTTTCTTGGTGCAGTCTAAACTTCACTGGTCAGTAGCGAAGGTAGAATGCCATTTTAGAGGAAGCAACAAGGAATTAAGAATCTAAAAACATCATTAACTTTAAAGAATTACTGTCTTTAAGAAGAGTGCTGACATTACTGCACACAATCACCTTAGATCATGAACTGAACAAAATTCATCCGTTTACTGAGAGTCCATTAGAATTCCTAACTTATTTTGTCCATTTTAAACATATCCTGTTTAATTTCTCATTTCCAGTGAAAGCTAATTGTTATGATGGCAAATACCATATTTTGCTTTTATAATCGTTGTGCCTTTAAGGAAAAAATGAAAATTATTCATGATAAATATGGTTTATCATGAAAAAACAAACATTGTATGAGCACAATTCTTGCTTAAGTATGTTCATTTGAAGAAATAGTATTGAGTACTTTCTTCCTCTTTCTAGAAACAAAAAATGTGGTTCAGCTATCCTCAATTCTCTTACAAGGTAATTGCTTCATCTAATTATATTTGCTATTCTTATTTCTGTTATGGGTTTTAATAAGGCTAGCAACGTTGTGTAAAATGGAATTGCCTAATCTTTCTGTCAAGAGTTATGACAACAAATGGCTTTTCCCTCCTTTGCCCTCGGGTAGGTGTTAGTAAATGGTCCTTCACCCCTGTAATGCTGCCATTAACATTCATAAACTGCTCTGGGTGAACTAATTCAGAGGTCGACACAGATATGCCAGAAACATCCTCATTTCCTAAAGATGGACTTGACAAAAAGAAGCCAAGAGTTACTTTTCAATCTCTCTGCTGGACCACAGGATTTCAATATGAATGCACAGCGGATACAAGATACTTCTGTAAAGGTATGTCAGCTCTGAGGAATGCAGTATCACTCTACAGTTCTATGTGAATACAACTATGCTTGTTTAAAACTATAGTTTTCTGTCTGATTCATTCCCTCTCATCAACAGTGAGAAGCAGGTGGCTTAGTAGGGATAGATGTATCTAATCTATTTTTCAGCAATGACAGGCATCCGTTGTATACAAATAAGCCTTGCTGTTCTGACTAAAGGCATTGGTTTACTACTGGCCTGTAGTGACCTGTGAAAGAAACATGAGTGATTCTAATGCATGGCTAAAACTCCAGGCTTACAGATAGCATCAGATCCAGGCCATTACAGCTGAAACCACAAAGGCAAACTGAAAGAGAGAGTTTAAGCAATTGTGTGAGCAATTCAGGGAAGTGTTAGGTGATGAAGAGATGTGGGAATTTGTGGCCCGAATTATTGAAATTTGCTATCTTCTGAACAATTACATCATTCCCTTGTTTTCTTTGGCACATTCTTAAATAAAAGTCTTTTACTTCTTTTGCTAAGAGATGCCCTTTTGGGTTCTGGTACCAATTTGCAAAGTGAGAAAATACGTATATGTTCTTGCATTAGGTGCAGTAGTTTTCAAAGTAAAGAAAACGATGACAAAGTGCTTATATTAAAATAAAGAACAGGCAAAAGAGAACATCTTCTTGGTATATAAAGACCAAAAGAAGACTAAAAATGAAAAATACTTACAGCTTATGATACTAATTTTTATGATGTAGATATATCCAGCCCTATTGATTTTCTAAGATGAAATATATGAGATGAGGATACAGATGAGGAGAAAAAAAAAACGTCAAAAATTGACACATCCTAAGAGTGAGTTCATCAATTTCTAATTTTCCAAGATGCTTCTCTCCAATCTTTCTTACTCATGAATAGTCTTAATATTAAAGAGAAATTAACCCTTTTTATGTTGCTGGCTAATTTTTCATGGCAGTATTGGAACACTTGAACCCTTACTTATAGTGGAAACAGTTTTGGAAACTTAGCTGTTAGTAAGTATTTACTGTAATGGTACTAATTAAAGATTGTAATGCTTTTGGGAGATATAAACATCATGCAAGGCTGCAACATTACATTTTTAATTAACAGTTTGGAAATGATTACAAATAAACTGTGTGAGCCATTCTTTCTCATTTACATAGTCTGATGGACTGTGAATGGGTTTACTACAAAGCTACTAAGCTACTGCCTATACACTGCTTTATTTCAGCTTTAATTAATTTTGCTATTGACTGAATCCTCAAAGTCATAAACACAAGTTTTCAGATGATCATTGCTTGCAGGTATTTCTCTAGCTAATCCAACATCTTCCAGCCCAGAATCAGGGGGACACAACATTTGTCACTGTTTGGGTTATCATTACCTATCACATGGTGCTATAGGTAGAATGGTAAACTGAGTTCTTTTTAGAAGGGAGAGATAAGACAACCAGGCATCTAATAGTACAACTTCATAAATATACTCAAACAATTTCAAGGTCCATGTGTGCCATTTTGAGCAGTTATATCACATTTCAATTTTCTTTACTTACTCACACATCTGTTGTCATTCAGCAATATTCGATCCCCCCTGCAGGAACAGTTCACTCTTCCATTAGGAGTTAAAAGGCACAGGTCATGGCAACCTCCATTCAGTAACGCACATGGAGAAAGTTCACCTGCAATGAACAGGTTTTACTGGTGACATTTTATATTGAATTCCTAGTCTATGTTAATATAGATTAACAGTAAACTGTTAGACAGCCTCAATCTCTCAAAAATATCTCATGAACAAGGAAGATTTGGGATTTTTAAACAAATCTAAATATTCCAAAAGATAAGAACATTAAAAATATGTAACAAATCTCTACATTTTCTAACATATTTGTCATTCAACGCACTAGTACCTCTAGAAACCACATGCGTACTGCAGACTGCAATTTTGTAGGTATTCCAGTGATTAAAAAAATTTTAAGGCCAGATGCAAAGCTTGTTTATCAACAAGTATTATTTTCTTGGAAACGATCTGAATGTTCAAAAATATGAGGAGTGAGCAAGTATGAAATAGAAATCCAGAATCAAATAATTAAAAATGAATTGTTCCTCTGGTGGTAAATTAAGAACTACAAAATTTTCCATAAAACTTTCAGATAATTTCAATATATTAGATAGTCAAAGCCTGAACACTAGTCCCATAAACAGTAAGAAAACAAAATCCAACTAAGTATTACTAAAAACATAAATACGTTTTTTGAGAGATTATATAATTGAGAAATACATTTGTAACTTACAAATAAATATTGTAACTTACAGCTATTGGTGTCATTGGCAACAGCTATGATACCCATTGGTTGATGTGGAATATCAGAACGAAGAATTTTTGTATCTCCTCCCGTGTACTTGTTGGAACGCAGGATAGCTCTTCTTCCCCAGTCTGACCAGAAGATATAATTGTCATAAACAGCCAAACTGAGAAAAGCCCCTGGCCCAGATTTGACAATCACCTGGAATAAAGTAAAATATCATATTTTATTAAATGAAGATATCCTCATCTGTTTTTGCTCAAAAGAGATTAAGATTATTTCTGATTATTGAAATAATCAGATAAAAATACATTTCACTAAATGTATTATCATAACTGTGTTTATAGTTTATTTTAAATGTCTTAACCATCCTTAATTTTTGCAATGTTTACTTAATATTTTGCAGTATATTTCTATTTAATAATCAGTTTGTTTAAGCAGCTGTGTCTATTTAGCATTATAAACCAAAATCATCATGACAACAATATGAGACTATTAGTACTAAACATTTATTTATCATTATTAAGAAATCTTTAGATATACAGTAAACACTCACTAAGCTCTCAGAACTATATACAGAATATAAAGTTCAACTGATCCAGGTTATTCCTTTAGGAAGCTTACAACATGAATAAGTTAACCAGATATACATGTATTGGCAATAAAAGTTTAAAAGCAAAGACCAAAAAGTTTCGCTCAGAACAAGATGAAGTAAAAGGGTGTAGATTATCCTTCTCAATAAATCTATATATATATATATATATATAAATAAAAAAGGAGGCTTTTCAACACATTGGATATCAGGTAAGGAAGGACAGTGATTCCTGAGTAACAGATAAACCAAGTGAGTCCCATAATCTCCACAGTTTATAGCCTGAGACAGATTCCAGGTAGCAACACAGTGCAAAGAAACCCAACAGAGTCCAGGGAACTCTCTGAGTGGATATAGCTCAGAGTTACGGGAGGGTAATATGGTTAGCTCTCACAAGGCAGAGTGTTGGAGAGAAGAAGGCAACAGAGAGAAAACTCTGGATATCTGCACAGGGTCCTCCTGGAGTATTAAGCACAGTATGTGAGACAGTTACTGCAAGCTGGTGAAAGAGTCATGCAAAAGGACTAGAGAGAAGAGTTTCCAAAATTTACGTGGGTCCAAGAATCACACTTGTTAATGCCAACCAGACTTAAAATCTTTGTAATTCGTGGGACTCTGAGTAGAGTACTTGGAAGGTCTTGGCTCAGCAGCGGGAAATAATTAACCCTAAACTCTGTTCTACTCCAGTCTCTCAAACCTTAACAGCAAATCCTGAAAGGATCAAACTCTTTCCAGGTAGCTTAACTGTTTCCCAAAAGAATGCTCAAGAATTTTAATGGTAATATGTAAAATTTTACCACTAAACTACTACGGAAAAAGAGATGAAAAGTCGCAAATCTGTGACTTCAGTTTCCACCTTAAGAAAGTAGAAGAGAAAATGTAAGTTAAATCCAAAATAAAGGAAAACAAAATAAAAATCAGAAGAGAAAGCAAGGAAATAGAAAACAGGAAAAAATCAGAGGAAAATCAGTGAAACTAAAAGATGGCTCTTTGATATCAATAAAATGAAAAACACATAATGATGAAGTGAGTTTTATCCAAGGAATACAGAGTTATTTAACATTTTAAAATCCTATCAGTATAACACGCAAAATAAGAAAACTCATATGAAGGTCTCAGTACAGAGAATTTATTGGTTGGATCTAATATGCATTCCTGATAGAAACTCAGACTAAAAATATGAATAGAAATAAAAGTAGGAATGAGACAGGAAAAATCATTCTTACTACTTCTACCCAACATTGTCCTAGAATTTCTAGCCAGTATAATTAGGCAAGAAAACAAAAATAAAAAGCATTCAGATTGGGGATCAAAGTCTGATCGATCACCTAGGCCTGCCTTCACCAAGAATCTTGTTAGGTCAGTTTAGTGCATTTGGGGAAGATGTTTCACTTTTTTTTTGAATTTTAGTTTGCTCATCTTAAAGCTGGGGCTGTCCCTTACCTCTGATATTTCCTCTTAGTAATTGTCCATCCACTCACAGCCCATTCACTCCCTGGCTATAAATGTCTACTTTTCCTTGTATTTAGAGTTGACCTCAATCCCTCTCCTCTACTGCAAAACCCCACTGCAGTTGTCTCTATATACCTATCCTGATAGTCCTGAATAAAGTCCCCTTTATCATTTTAACAGGAGTCATGGATATTTTTTCCTTAACACATTCAATGTAGTACTACTGAGAAAAAAAAAAAAAGGATGAATTATTGATGTATGTAACACTGTGGATAAATTTCAAAATAATTATGCTGAGTGAAAGAAGCCAGACAAAAGGGAGTACAGGTATATCATACCATTCATATAAACTTCTACAAAATGCAAACTAATCTGTAGTGACAAAAAAAAACAGTGTTTCCTGTGGACAGAGTGGGAAGCAGTAGGGTGGAAAAAGAAGGATTAAAAAGGGAAATGAAGAAATGTGTTGGGGTCATTGATATGCTCATTATCTTGATGTGATGGTGGACTCACAGATAATATGGGTGTTTGTGTGTGTGTGTGAAGACTTTTAAACTTTAAATATTTACATTTTAGTGCATGTCAATCAGATCTAAATAATTTTTTTTAAATAAAGGCCAAAAATTTCTTTAAAATATTTTCAGAAGTAACATTAGGTAAATATATGGGACTGCAACTACATTTGGAAGGACAGGATACATCAGAAAATAGATGTTTTTACTGTCTAGTCATTTTACTTTGCTTTTGCTTCTAAATCTAATCCATAGGTGACCTATCCAAATAGTTCCTCTGAATTCTTTAGCAAATTAGTGAAGGAACAGAGGGATGGTTTAAATGTGAGCACACCCTTGTTAGTTGAATGAAATGCTCAGATTTCTAGAAGAGAGAAACTAACATGAGTTTTCTCTTGTAGCAAAGAGATGAGAAATAATTTTAGGAATCGAACAGTAAACATACAAAAGAAGAGAGGAAAAAAAGGACCTTAAGCCTTAGAGAAGCGAAGAAATCTACAAGATTTTGCCTCTAAGGCAGCAAGAACTACAAGGAACAGCTTTAAAGGCATTGATGTAGTTTATTTTATTTTGTTTGGTTTCATTTAGAAGAAAGCTTTGCCTCCCTACTGTGGACAAATTACATGAATAGAGACGTTGTGGCATACCTAGAATAAAGAAATGGGCTTTTTGCCTTATCAACATCCTAATCAGGAGGGCTTGATAATCAACATCCAATTCAGAACTATAGAATTTACTCAGTTATCTCCATTTTAGAAACCATTGTGGTATAATGGGAAGGGCTCAGAAGGCCTACATTCAAATGGCAGCATGGTCATTCTTGAGCAGAGTAGATTTGGGGAAGATGTTTCACTTTTTTTTTTTATTTTAGTTTGCTCATCTGTAAGATGGGGCTGATTAAAACCTGCTTCAACAACTTCACAGGGCTGTTATAAGGATATATATAGAAATATTTTGAACATCTTATATTTATATATATCCATATGTATATATACATATATGTTTGTATTTATTTAATTTAGCTGTCAGAGATAAGTTTGATATTAATTTTTGTGATTTTTGCCTCCAGATCTGTTATAAAATAATTATTTTTGTATAAAAATCAAATTTAGAAACCTCAATAGTAATATTTTTATAGAAATAAATCAATTTGATTATTTGCCTTGGAATATTAAATATGCCAAGCAGAGACCTAGCTACATTACTTTTCCCTGTAATCAGAAAAAATAAATAAAAAAGGAATTTTCACAGGAATGATGACTGCATGGGAATGGTCACGAAGAAACAAATATTTGGAAAATACCCTTCCTGGCGCCACATGTTGCCTTCTTAGGAATTGATACATTCTAGGATTAAATCATTTACTGACTACTAAAATTGATGTGGTTTGGAGAAAACAGATAATCTTTGGAATGTGGTAGTTTAAAAAAAAAATAGTCCCCTCTCTTTACCCCATCCTATATCAAATTCTAAATTATTATGAGGTAATTAGCAATGTCATCTTCCTGATTTCCCAAATTTTTCCTCAGTCATTCTGAATTAACTGGTAATTACCCTCTTATAAAAACAATTACTTCATTTTTATTCTGAATATATAAGTATTTTCTGTTCTATAGAGCAATATTTCTCAAGTTTTAATGTACATGCAATTCACTTTGAGATTTGTTAAAATTCATATTCTGATTTACTAGGTTAGGGGTGGAACCTCAGATTCTTCATTTCTAACAAACTTCCAGGTGTTGTTGATGCTGCTGTTTGGGAACTCACTTTAAAAAACAAGAATTATAAAATAGAGAAAAGTACAAAAGAAAATAAATAATAATAATATTAAATAAATAATAATCTTACCACACAGATCTAATTACTTATCATTTTGGATTAAAGAATATATATTTATTTTTTTCTTTACAAATTGACAGGCACATGAGCACCCCAAAGTTTCTTGAGATATAAGTAAAATCAATTTTAAAATCTTCAACCTCTTTAAAGAGGGGAAAAAGATGTCTTTCTTGATCTGTAATACATTAGAACATCTTATATTACAGAGGGACAAGATAATTTTTCCATATGTTCTCCTGTTCTTAGAACAATTTTACTAATCTAAGTGCAGGTCATGTTGCTGTAACCTCCACCCTTTCAAACACACACACACACACACACACACACACACACACACACGAGCATGGGGAAAACTAATGCTAAGTGTACGAGTTTAATACTAATGCTAAGTGTACGAGTTTAATATTCCTCATTTGTATTTCTTTGGAAATAACATGTTATTCCCTAGTCAATATTTCATGAGTATAAAAGATCACCTGTAACAATGTTATGGACTGAATGTTTGTGTCTCCCCAAAATTCATATGTTTAAATCTTAACCCACCATGTGATACTTGTAGGTGGAACATTTGGGAGGTAATTAAGTTTAGATGAGGTCATGAGGGTGAGGTCCCTGTGATGGGATTAGTGTCCTTATAAGAAGAGGAAAAGATCTCTCCTGTTCTCCTTCATGTGAGGATACACAGCAAGAAAGGAGCTGCTGCAAGCCAGAAAGAGGTCTGTCACTTGAGCCCAAATGTGCTGGCATGCTGATCTGAGATTTCTCAGCCTGGAGCCCTGAGAAATAAATGTCTATTGTTTAAACCC